GATGACTCTCTTGTCACCAAATGCCAAGCTGATGACTCTCTTGTCACCACATGCCAAGCTGATGACTCTGTTGTCACCACATGCCAAGCAGATGTCTCTCTTGTCACCAAATGCCAAGCTGATGTCTCTCTTGTCACCACATGCCAAGCTGATGACTCTCTTGTCACCACATGCCAAGCTGATGACTCTCTTGTCACCACATGCCAAGCTGATGTCTCTCCTGTCACCAAATGCCAAGCTGATAACTCTTTTGTCATCAAATGCCAAGCTAATGACTCTCTTCTCACCACTTACCAAGCTGCTCTCGTCACCAAATGCCAAGCTGATGACTCTCTTGTCACCACATGCCAAGCTGATGACTCTGTTGTCACCACATGCCAAGCTGATGTCTCTCTTGTCACCAAATGCCAAGCTGATGTCTCTCTTGTCACCACATGCCAAGCTGATGACTCTCTTGTCACCACATGCCAAGCTGATGACTCTCTTGTCACCACATGCCAAGCTGATGTCTCTCCTGTCACCAAATGCCAATCTGATGACTTTTTTGTCACCAAATGCCAAGCTAATGACTCTCTTCTCACCACTTACCAAGCTGCTCTCGTCACCAAATGCCAAGCTGATGACTCTCTTGTCACCAAATGCCAAGCTGATGTATCTCATGTCACCACATGCCAAGCTGATGTCTCTCCTGTCACCAAATGCCAAGCTGATGACTCTTTTGTCACCAAATGCCAAGCTAATGACTCTCTTCTCACCACTTACCAAGCTGCTCTCGTCACCAAATGCCAAGCTGATGACTCTCTTGTCACCAAATGCCAAGCTGATGACTCTCTTGTCACCACGTGTAAAGTTAATGTCTCTCTTGTCAGCACATGCCAAGCTGATGACTCTCTTCTCACCACTTACCAAGCTGCTCTCGTCACCAAATGCCAAGCTGATGTCTCTCTTGTCACCAAATGCCAAGCTGATGTCTCTCCTGTCACCAAATGCCAAGCTGATGACTCTTTTGTCACCAAATGACAAGCTAATGACTCTCTTCTCACCACTTACCAAGCTGCTCTCGTCACCAAATGCCAAGCTGATGACTCTCTTGTCACCAAATGCCAAGCTGATGTCTCTCATGTCACCACATGCCAAGCCGATGACTCTCTTGTCACCACATGCCAAGCTGATGTCTCTCTTGTCACCAAATGCCAAGCTGATGACTCTTTTGTCACCACATGCCAAGTTAATGACTCTCTTCTCACCACTTGCCAAGCTGCTCTCGTCACCAAATGCCAAGCTGATGACTCTCTTGTCACCAAATGCCAAGCTGATGTCTCTTGTCACCACATGCCAAGCTGATGTCTCTCTTGTCACCACATGCCAAGCTTATGACTCTCTTGTCACCACATGCCAAGCTGATGACTCTCTTGTCACCACATGCCAAGCTGATGTCTCTCTTGTCACCACATGCCAAGCTGATGTCTCTCTTGTCACCAAATGCCAAGCTGATGACTCTTTTGTCACCAAATGCCAAGCTAATGACTCTCTTCTCACCACTTGCCAAGCTGCTCTCATCACCAAATGCCAAGCTGCTGACTCTCTTCTCACCACATGCCAAGCTGCTGACTCTCGTCACCAAATGCCAAGCTGCTGACTCTCTTCTCACCACTTGCCAAGCTAACATCTTTCTTGGTCTTTCCCGTCTCCAGTTACTGTGTCTGTTGGTGTGGTCTGATTGAAGGACATTATTATTAATTTTCTTCTGCTTCTTTGTCCCCTGTGCAGTGTGACTAAACCACCTGATTCTGACTTTTCTTCTGCTACTGCTAACTGTGTGGTGTGACTAAACCGCATTATTCTGACTTTGTGTCTGCTGTTCATAATCTTGAGGTGTGATTTCAAGTCATTCTCTGCACTCTTCTATCTACTGTTTTGTAAATCTTTTCCATTACTTTACAATCAGGGTTAACGTCACTGATTTGTACTCATTTAGCCAAGTTTATTTTTGCGGTGCAGCATGTATGTTTTTAGGTGTTTTTTTATCTGAAGGATATGTGTATATATTTAGGATTCATGGATGTTCATACGTGCATATGTGTGTGTGTACGCATGCATATTTATGTACAGTAATCATGCATGTGTGTGTGTGTGTGTGTGTTACTTATACAGTATGTTAATGTGTGTATTTGAGAATGCATGCATGACCCATAATCATTCAACCCACCCACATACACAGCATTCAAATGATATTTAACATTAGCTGGGTTCAACATGCCAACTTTAGAATACATAATTACTCTGAGAAAGATGAACAGCAGGAAGAACCTAATGCAAGCCCGTATGCCCGCCCAGTCTGTGAGGTTCAGTAAATTACGTTTGTTTGGCCTCATAACACGAGCCACCGTTTCATTTTGTATCATCGCACCCCCCGCAGTATTCAACATTTTACTGGTCCACAATGGAACATAAAATCCAAGATAAAAATTGTCAGCTGATCAAGCATACCAACAGTTACAGTTGCTTTTTCACACATGAAAATATTACACATGTTGCCCATAAAGTCTGTCTGTAGCTAAAAGTCTGTGCAGTGGAAATTAAAGTGTAGCTGCTTACAAAAACTCTCATAATATACTTTCTTCTTCATCTTCTTTTTTACTGCTTGGGGTGTTGAGGGAGGTATAAGTTTTGCTTCTTGATCTTTTGGACATCTCGGGCATAGACACATTTACAAAGTACGGTGCTGTCTCCACTATGGAGGTTGGCTTGCTTGCTTGTTTTACCGCACCAGGGCATCACACAAGCGATAAACACCTGGTGACACAAAGTGCCACCATGCGGCAAAGTGCCAACAAGTGGATGAGGATCACCCATGCAAAGGTCCCAGAAACCACTTTCAGCCATTAAGGTCACAACTGTGACCCAGCTATATTCAGGGCCCCCGGCAAAAGCCAGGGTAGGGCTTCAAACAATGAAAAATTGCATCCCACAAGGGGATGACAGGAGGGTTGGCTAAAGTGTATCACTGTATAGATAGTATTATGGTGTAGTTTCTCAGATTTACTCTTTCCATATTCTTTTTCTTCTTCACGTTCACCAGCTGGAAACTCTGGAGTAAAGTTCTGGTTGTTCATCCACTTTTGGACTGTAGTCCTGTTCCAGAACCTGAGTGTTGCTTGTGCATCCGTTTTACAAGAGCTGACTCATTTGTATGCAGACTGCTGGTTTCTTGCCTCTCAGGCAGATGCATTCTGACTTCGAAGGAAGCTCCCAGTTAGTTAACTCTTACGACATGCTTTAGGGTAGGCATATTGTTCTTCGTCTACCCTGTGCTCTTTTGCTGTATGCCCCATATGGTATGGCTTCACAAGGCATTCTCTCTAAGTGGGCAAATGATTTCATTTGCTGTTTTCGTATGAAATTTAGAATTGGTTCGTTGTTGACTTGTTCTCTTATGACCTCATTTCTGATTTTCTGGACACTCCTACAGCCCTTCTCAGACATCATGTGATATGCATCAGAGAAATAAATTATGACCCATTTAGCTCTTGTGAGGGTTTCTGGGGCTAACCGTGTTCCTTGGTGTTCTGAAGGTCATAAGGGTGTCTGATAAGTTTTCATACACACACAAAATAAACACTTTAAAAAAAAAATTAAAAAAAAAATTTTTTGTTAAATAATATCTTCTACAAAACTACCATTATTCTGAAAACACATTTTGACTCATGTCCTCCATGGCTGAAGAAGTATAAATAAGGAAAGCTGGAGTTATGTTTGTAATGGCGCTGGCGATATGTTAATTTTTTTCTATGTATGGAAACTTATGGGACACCCTGTTCGATTTTGGACTGTGTTTGGCTTTGTTAGTACTGGTATTTTGGTGATTCCACGGAGCTGTTACTGGAGCTGCTGAGTTGATGCTTTGTGCAATGCTCTTGCTGGTGAGCAGCTGCTCTGCAGATGGAGACTGAGCCATATGGGAAAATACCCTCTTCTCTTGCCTTTAGTTCTGGTGATGCAAGCTGTCATAATGTCTCCTGTACATACATATGTGTGTGTTATGTGGGACTTGGGTACTGTTCATGGGGCTGACCACAAATCTCTACCGTGACTTTGAAGGAAATGTCACTCCTTCAGCATTCTGAGCCTCTGAAGTTGTTTCCTGCAGATACCACCTGCCCTGTTTCATCTCTGTGACTGGCCTTCTCTGTCTAGTTGGCAACTCCCAAGTGTTTGTAGGTGTGCTTGTAGATTACCTCTCCACTGTCCTGTTGGTCTGCATCAGGGTCTACACACATTCAACTTTTTTGTATTTGCAGTTTTTGTGTGTCTGTCTGTTATCTGCCATTCTCTATATGTGCCCCTCAACCACCACAGTCTACTAGCTCCATGATGCCAGTAATTAGTGATGACCTTGTTATATGTTGTGGCATCTAACTTTAGGAACTCTTATGTATATGCAGGTTTTTTGTGTCTGTCTGTTAACTGTCATTCTCTCTATGTGCCCTAACTATTGCAGTTTAAAAGCTCCATGGTGCCCGTAATTAGTGGTGACTTTAACATATGTTCTGGCAACTAACTCTAGGAATGACATTTTTGTATAGTGTTTACTCTTTGCCAGTACAGTTACCATACTGGCACACTAATTGCAATTCTGCTTGTCTTGAAAAAACTGTCTGCCGAGAGCATCACACAGAGTAGAAAGTCTGTAGCTCTGGCAATGACTCCCAGGGATCTCTGTAAAAATTGCACGTCTGAAGTGAACGATGTAGTAAAAATTAGTCTGGAACCTTCACAGCTTGAGGCAAATGGCTTAACCTCTTTGCCATGTCTACTATTTTGGAAGTGTAACATTTATATATCTATCTTTCAGAAGTGTAACATTTATACATCTATCATTTCTATCATTCAGAAGTGTAACATTTAGACACCTATCTTTAAGGGCACCATGTCAATGTATCTGGAAATGTTCACATTAAATGCACAAAACAGATAGTTTGTAGTCTGCATGAAATAAACTATGTGGATTTTTTTAGCCGTTTTCTCCCATCTTCTGAGACCACAGTGGTCATGGATGCGATTCTGAGACTGATCCTGGACGGGGTTGCTGATGGGTCAAGGATTGAGCTCACAGACCCAATACTGTTTCGAGATTTTGATGTTGGGGTCAGGACAGTCAGAGCTGGACTTGAACTGGTTGGAGATGAGCCTGGTTCTAGTTTCGGTCTCTTCAGGGCTGGTTCTGATTCAGACGTCGAGCGGGCTGCTTGTTTTGTGCCCCGAGTGGGGGTCCCCATTCCTGTGGAGAATTACATGTTGAATTTTTTTTATAGCAAGTAAAGAAATTGTCTTACTCTGAGAAAGCCTCATAAAAATTTAAGAAGAATGTCTTTATAATGGGAACCTCAGGGTCACAGAAATAAAGGCACAATGGAAAACATGGAGAAGGGTTTGGAAGAGTAAAGTTAAGATAAGGAAAAAGAAAATTTAACAAGAATCTACTGGGAACTTCAGGATCACAGAAATAAAGGCAGATTGGAAAACATGGAGAAAGGACTAGAAGAGTAAAGTTAAAAAGATAAGGAAGATATTGTGGTGAGCTGCATGCAATAACAAAGGATAAGTCAAACTGATGTGAGTTGGTTGAGGGTCTGAATTTGCACTGGGGAATACAGAGCAAATTAAGAAAAAGAGAGATGCTGTGTTAATACTGCTGGTAGTGGCAAAAATAGCCCCATGGTAGAAACTATTTGGGTGAGAAAAAAAAAAATTCAGTTGATGTAGCGTTCCACTCTGCTATAGGGAAGCATACGATACACAGCCCATGGTGATGGTGAGTGTGACTATCAAATCCAGCTGACATTAAAAAGAATCTTCCACAATAAAAACATGTTTTCTTCTTCTTCCTTTTGTTCTCCCTGATAGTGGCTTTCAGATGAGAAAGCCACAAGCCTCTATGAAGTCTATGGTACGACACCACGTCTTCCACCCTCTCATACAGCTTGGTTTTAACTGGAAAATCTGGGATCTCTCTACTGCTTGTCTGTAGCACATGTTCAGTATTCTGTCATGCCTGTCCACATAAGCAAATTTCTGAATCCCAAATTGTGAACTTCTTGTATATATGGCTGTAGAGTCTGTTGTGTCCAGAATGCAATCTAGATACTGCTTTCATGTGAGGTTGACTGGGTTTTCATGATAGTGTCCTATCTGGCAAGTGTTCCAATGGGTTCTAAGGCTGCCATGATCTCAGTTTTATTTTCCTCATAAGTGCATCCTGTACCTAACTGTTCTGTATGACTTCCAATGTATGCCAAGTAGTCTGTCCTTTTATAAGTGCATGTGAAGTGTTAGGCTTTCACATATTCTAGGCTATGAGGTAGGATGACCAGTTGCTTTCCTAAAAGCATTTCTTTCCCAGATAATTCTAACTGCTAAAAAAAAAAAAAAAACTTGAAAAGAGAGAGAGTAACAATAATTTCTTGTCCTTGTGTGGGTTCTGCGGACAAATAAGAATAAACCTCTTGCCCCATTACAAATAAGCCAGATATGTACAACAGATGCACATGCAAAACTCAAGTTCTGGTTTTGGAACACGAATAAGTTGAGAAGTGGAAGAATAACCAGAAATCTCCACCAGTTTACAGATGATGAATGCACAGAATAAGACAAAGAAGAAGAATGATTTCTTGGAAAATGTTAATGAAAGGAAAATGTTATAATAAATTCAGACAATGTTCTCTAGTTAAGCAATTAAAAGATTCCCAGTGTGGGTTCTGTGGGGTCTCCCTAGACCCACTGCTCCTTAACAGCAAGTTGTAAAACACAACTTATAAAGGAGACCCACTGCTCCTTAACAGCAAGTTGTAAAACACAACTTATAAAGGAGACCCACTGCTCCTTAACAGCAAGTTGTAAAACACAACTTATAAAGGAGACCCACTGCTCCTTAACAGCAAGTTGTAAAACACAACTTATAAAGGAGACCCACTGCTCCTTAACAGCAAGTTGTAAAACACAACTTATAAAGGAGACCCACTGCTCCTTAACAGCAAGTTGTAAAACACAACTTATAAAGGAGACCCACTGCTCCTTAACAGCAAGTTGTAAAACACAACTTATAAAGGAGACCCACTGCTCCTTAACAGCAAGTTGTAAAACACAACTTATAAAGGAGACCCACTGCTCCTTAACAGCAAGTTGTAAAACACAACTTATAAAGGAGACCCACTGCTCCTTAACAGCAAGTTGTAAAACACAACTTATAAAGGAGACCCACTGCTCCTTAACAGCATGTTGTAAAACACAACTTATAAAGGAGACCCACTGCTCCTTAACAGCAAGTTGTAAAACACAACTTATAAAGGAGACCCACTGCTCCTTAACAGCAAGTTGTAAAACACAACTTATAAAGGAGACCCACTGCTCCTTAACAGCAAGTTGTAAAACACAACTTATAAAGGAGACCCACTGCTCCTTAACAGCATGTTGTAAAACACAACTTATAAAGGAGACCCACTGCTCCTTAACAGCAAGTTGTAAAACACAACTTATAAAGGAGACCCACTGTTCCTTAACAGCAAGTTGTAAAACACAACTTATAAAGGAGACCCACTGCTCCTTAACAGCAAGTTGTAAAACACAACTTATAAAGGATCTGCTGAAACTGGAAGTGTTGAAATGCAATGGTACAGACATGCAATAAGATTTAACAGCCTTTCTGAAACGATACTACAGTATGTTCGCTCAGTAGAAGGGAAGAGAAGAAAAGGCAAACCAAGAAAGACCTGGATACAGAACTCGACTGAACTATAGCTGATGCCTGCCGGAAGCAATGATGATACAAAAGCATGGCTATACTTCATCCACAGGGTTGAAATACACAGCAAACTGTGGGTGACTTGTGTTATTGAGCTGATTTAGTGTGCCTGCCTCAAGATGTACACATACTCAAAACACAATGACTGATGCCCAGGAATCATTTCTAGGACGTATGGTGCAATGTTTGGGCCTGAAAGAGTTCAGAGATATTCACCACCCTAATACTTCAAAGAAAAACTGGAAGAGAAATGGTGAAAGAGAAAGAGAAAGAAGACAAAAAGACAAAGAACTCACCAAGTTTCTGCTCAACCCCTTTCAGCCGAGCCTCTGCCTCCTTACACTCCTTGTACTTGTGCATAGTTTCTGGAAGCTTCTGGAGGTTGATCTGTTCTTGCAACTCATCCTGTGCTTGGATGCTGGCTACCAATGCCCCTTTGTATTTCTCTAAAGTATCTGGTAATGAAGAAAATCAAGTCTTCTGAACTTCAAGGTTAGAGAACCATCTTTTAAATACCATTATCAAAGGAAGGACAAAACTGACATTCTACAAAATCTGACTAAAGCTCATTGACAACATAATGTCTGGGACATGTCAGATATATTCAATGCTGTAATGGCTTAGAAAGAACAGTAATGGAACGCATGATTCCTGGAGGATATGACAAGGCAGGAAGATGGCACATCTCAGGCAGCTGTTACTTCAGGTTGCCTGGGTGTGAATCCACTAGACTTGAGTTTTAAATCTAAAGTCTGATGAACTGATGTTCAAATCTTCTTCATCTTCTCTCTGTTTGCCTTTAAAAGGGCAACTGGCACATTATGCTGTGTTTTACGACGAGCTAGACTGTGATAAACATGGACGCACACAAAGTCTTGTTAACCAACATAGGACTGGTACTATTAACTGCACGGCGCGGATGAATATGTTGAGAGGGGAATCTGAGCGCTTATGGATGTGTCCGGAGCACTGTGAAGATAATCTAACTCATAACTGTGATAAACATACCTATCAGCAGACAAATCTGATTTCAACAAAACCTTAATTGGCTTCCTCTTAACAACATGCATATTAGGGGGCAGTGTATCAATTATTTGTGACCCAAAAAATGAGGTACTGGAACCAATATATGCTCAACTGAGCCTGAAACATCACTGTTTTGAAGTCAAGTTGATGTAAAGACTTCTCACCCTGATATTAAAGGCACCATCTTTAGGGGTGTAGTTATAGAGATCTCGTTCCTCTCTCAAAGCACACAGCTCAAAGAAGTGAGGTAGCCAAATTTCTTCCTCACCACCTGTCCCATTCAATTCCCAGAAAAACCCAGAAAGTTATCCTGTACTCATGTTTAGAAACTGTGGGCTCCTGAACTATAGAGGTTAGTTGCATATCCTTTTACAGGACTTTGCAGAACCAACCCCAACAGCCCCTGGCTGTTGTGTGGTTTTTCTAGACAAATTTACATCAGTAGTTTGCCATTGCTTTCTGGACAGTCGGCTTTCCTGATACCACTGTCAAAACCAACGCAAGGCGCATGGCCCGCAGCTGGGATCGAACCCGGCATCCCGGCATTATGAAGTGTTCGCATCGACTTAGCCACAGAGCCGACCTCCTGAACTATACCGGTTAAAAAAAAAAACATCCTGAAACTTTTTTTTTAAGGAGATGAGTATAACTGTAAAACAACAAAAAAACACGTCGCAAAAAGAGCATGTTTATTATCGGGTTATATTTGTGCCAACAATTGTGTTTTTAAAGGTATATCCTCACTGACAGACTCCATCCATTGTGTGTGTGTGTGTTATCAGGGCCCTTAGGGGAAGCAAAGAATAATAAGACTGTATTTTACCAAGAATGTCATAGGAGGCAGCTTAGCTAATGGTAGGACTGGCCTTGGCTACCCTACCATGCCAAAAGATTTAACTACACAAGTCACATACTTAATAGAGTTGGCTAAAAACCTATTCTGTATTTGAGGAGATGATAAAGAAGAAAAAAAAAAGAAGAAAAAGAAGATGATGTTGATGATGACAAAGAAGAAGAAAAACAATGCAGCAGAAGAAGACAAAGAAGAAGACAAAAAAGAAGTAGAAGAAAGAGGATAAAGAAAAAGAAGAAGAGGCGTTTAACTTACTGGTCACTGGCAGAAAAAGACTTCCTAATAACAACAAGTTAATAGCTCCGTGTATCACACTCTCACCCTATACTGTCTGATGACATAATGCAGAATTCTGCAACTAAAAACTTCAACAAACAAGACATAGTGAATGAGTTAACCAAGCAACAATTATCACAGACACCAAAGCCTCACCTATCTGTGTACAGATGGCATGGTAAGCCAGCGGCAATGGCTGCCCAAAGATGGACCCTTTGAGTTTGTCCACAGGTGGGGCTTTATTCATGGCACCACCAAATTTGCCATTGCTGCGGATTCTGTCACCGCTTCTCGTTAGAATGGTGGGGCAATGTGTGTATTTTACAATCTGCAAGTTGTAGAGAATTTCAAAGTTTAAGTGACAGAAAATAAAAATTTTGATATTACAAAGATGTAGGAGAATTAGGAAGTGACAGTAAATTACAGTAAATATTGATTTCACAAAAAAAAAAAAAAAAGGAGAACTTAAAAGTTAAGTGACAGTGAATTTTGATATCATAAAGATAATAAGAGAATTGAGAAGTTAAGTGACAGTAAATTTTGATATCAAAAGATATAGGAGAATTTAGAAGTGATGGCAAATGTTGATATCACAAGGACATAGGAGAATTTAGCAGTGATAGTAAATTTTAATATCACAAAGATATAGGAGAATTTATTAGTTAAGTGACAACAACCTTAAGAATAAAGACTAAATTATTCTACGCAATAATAAGTGCACATATTATTCTTACATCTCCTCCTAACATCTGATGAGGTAACTGGTGGAAAAAAGAAGAAGACTGCGACGACAAACAAAAATGGCAGCCAGAAACATGAAGATTCATTAGTATATGTTAAGCGATAAATGTGAAATGCAGCTGCAACATTAAATCTTCTTCTTCTTGTTCACCGGCTGTGAATTCCGGCGGTAAGTCGCGGTTGTTCATCCAAATGGACTTTTGGCCTTTACCTTGACCTGAGTTTTGCGTGTACATCCGTTTTACTGGCTTATTTGTTTGCAGTTCTCGTTCCCCGCCTCTCCAGCAGATGTACTCCGACTTCGAGGGAAGACGTCAAGCCTATTTCTAGGTTGACTGTGGCCATTGTTTTGTGTGGGTCGAGATGTTGCCTCATTTGTTAGGTGTCCTCTTTGACCTTTAACAGGTGTGGTCCCCGGAATATCGTCCTTAAGGCAGCTCTATGTAGGATTGTCAGCCCTCAAGGGAAGGCAGGGGCAGATCATGGGCATTTCCCGCCATCCAAGGAGGCTTCCATAAATGCAGAGCCGACACATGATGCTCTGGTTCTGGGCTCACCCAAGGAATCGTCACGTCCTGCCCATGACTGCTTAACCTCACAACCGCGTATTGAGCTTCCCGCGCCACAAGGCTGCGTTCTCCGGAGATCAGCGGGGAGCAGCCCGCAGGTCCAGGACTTTTGTGGCCACACAAATAGGTACATTCTTTTTCATCGTACGTTAGACACCTTTAACGTTGTTTCAGCTGTGCCCTTAGCACGACAGAAAGGGGAAGCAAAATGCGTCAGGCGTGGCTTCACCTGTTTGGTCCCGACACTCGGGCGACTGGGACCAGTGGATACGGACATTTGGACTTTTTCCTAATCGGTACGAATTATGATCGTCGGACTTTGAGCTTGCATGTGTGCCGTGGGGTATAACTTTGTCGGACATTATTTCCTAGCCAGCAGATGAAAAGTTGTGTACCTCAGCGTGGTGACAACGACACTGAGGATTGACAGAGGATGTACGTAGGTATGATCTTGCTGCGAGAAATCGCCCACAAGAGATGTTACTCGTCTTGGCTGCGGGTAAATCTCTCGGTCAGGGTTGAGTCTCAGCAGCACAGTTTTCCATTCGCTCCTGAATTTTAACCGAGAGTTGTCATTTGATGGTACATTTGGCAAGCAATCCTTACTCGTGTTCCGAATGAGTTTTGTTAGACTTTTCACCCATGCGTTTGGGGGCGGGCTGGTGAGAGCCAGAAAGGACACTACACCTCTAGGGGCCGCTAGCTCCGAGATCCCCTGCCAACTCTGTTAATGCTCATTTGAGACATTATCCGTGGCGCACGACGGGGACATGCAGCAGTAGTCTTGCATGAGGTTCCATAGAACCAGAACAGTGAAGGACTGGCGCCCGAGTGGGGTACGGAATATCTCCTTATACACATCACATCAGACTTAACTTTCCCTCATGCCTGTGACCGAAATCACCGTGCCACGCAACATTAAATGACACTAAAAAATTTGATTAAAAACTCGAAAAAAAATTCAGCTCTTTTCCCCTGATGGAGCATATGTCTTCAACCAAATTCCACCAAGTCGTCTTATCCTTTATGGGTCGATATAATTAAAGCAGTTTACAGAGACAAAGTTAACATATGGCTTAAAAATTATTAAAGCAGTTTACAGAGACAAAGATAACATATGGCTTAAAAATGATTAAAGCAGTTTACAGAGACAAAGTTAACATATGGCTCGATATGATTAAAGCAGTTTATAGAGACACAGTTAACATATGGCTTGATATGATTTAAGCAGTTGACAGAAACAAAGTTAACAAATGGTTTGATATGATTAAAGCAGTTGACAGAGATAAAGTTAATATATGGCTCGATATGATTAAAGCAGTTTACAGAGACAAAGTTAACATATGGCTCGATATGATTAAAGCAGTTTACAGAGACAAAGTAAATATATGGCTTGATATGATTAAAGCAGTTGACAGAGACAAAGTTAACATATGGCTTGATATGATTAAAGCAGTTTACAGAGACAAAGTTAACATATGGCTTGATATGATTAAAGCAGTTTACATAAACAAAGTTAACATGATTGATATGATTAAAGCAGTTTACAGAGGCAAAGTTAACATATGGCTTGATATGATTAAAGCAGTTGACAGAGACAAAGTTAAGATATGGCTCGATATGATTAAAGCAGTTTACAGAGACAAAGTTAACACATGGCTCAATATGATTAAAGCAGTTTACAGAGACAAAGTTAACATATGGCTTGATATGATTAAAGCAGTTTACAGAAACAAAGTTAACATATGGCTCGATATGATTAAAGCAGTTTACAGAGACAAAGTTAAGATATGGCTTGATATGATTAAAGCAGTTTAGAGAGACAATGTTAACAAATGGCTAGATATTATTAAAGCTATTTACAAATTAAAAATTAAAAAAAAATGTTTGTTTTGTTTTGTACTGTGCCATCTCCACAATTCTTGACACCCACCCATTCCCAGACGCACTCTTCTCCTTCCTTAGTAGGCAACAAAGAGTCGATATGCTAACAGTAACAGCTGCAATCTGATTAAAAGTCCGCCTATGTTTTCCCCTCAGTGCTGATTATCTTTCTGACCCCTCTGACTACAGATGACATTTTTGTCCGATGTCTTTAGGAAAACCGTGTGATAAGGCCCATACCTTGTTCCTGGTGTGATTCTAGTACCACTACTCACTAGTCATGAGAACAGTCTTTTATTGACATTATGTAAAAAAAAAAAATGGCTCTAATTTGGGCACTCCATTAATATGCCAAGACCTCAGTCTGGTTTAACTGTTTCACTCCCCGTTTGGGTTCCTGGGCCAAACTGTAGGAAAAACGAGAACAGACCAACTGCCTTCCCAATGAGCATGTCAGAAGAGTTGATTAACTGGGTGCTTCCTTCGAAGTTGGAGTAAATCTGCCTGAGAGGCAAGGAACAACCGACTGCACACAAACAAGTTGGTAAAATGGATGTACACACAAAACTCAGGTCCTGACGTGAAGCCAAAATCCACATGGATGAACAACCAGGATTTTCCACCAGAGCTTATAGTCAGTGAAAAAAGAAGAAGATCTGTTTCACAAGGGTCAGACAGTGATAGTCAATCTGTGTGCGTTCTGGTGGCACAGGAACAAATTACAGGGTGATCCATCAGCTGTGAAGTTGGAACTGGGAATAACTATAACATGCCCCTAGCTGGAGCTGGCAAAGCCATCATTCTGATTGTCTCCAGATTTCCTTTTCTGAATTTCCCCAAAGAAAATCATAACACACTTTCAGCCACATGACTTACCTCCTGCCTGTAGAGGTTAGCCTGGTCCAGATTATCAAGTATAAGTGTGTCACCCAGCAACATGCCAAACACTGTGAAGATAGTAGTAAGTTCAGTAAAGAATCCATTTTTCTATGCCAGTGGTACATGAGGCACATGATTCTAAATTTATATATGTATAGACCAATCAGCACTCAATGGGTAATGTGGTCAACATCACACCATTCGACTTTACCTATCAGGATCATCATCATCATCATCAAGTGCCTTGCCAACTGGTGTGGGCGATCATGCCTCTCCTTAATCTGCGATCTCCTGCAGCATGTATCAGTTCGTGTGCCGACACACCTCCATGCCATGCAACAAGACTGTCAAGCATCTTCTCTCATTGTCTTCCTCTATCCTTTTTTCCACAGATCTTTCCAGTGGTCACAACATGTTCTATTTTCCTTCTTCTCATAACATGGCCGAAAAATGATGACTGTCTCCTTCTGATGTCTATGATAAGTTGTCTTTGGGCTCCCGCCTCTATCAAAACCTCTTGGTAGCTCTTTTTGGCTGCCCAAGGTATTCTAAGCATTCTTCTGTAAAACCCCATCTCCGAGGCCTCCAGAAATTGTTTGGCCTGCCTACCGATTGTCCAGGATTTACAGCCATATGTTAAAACTGGATGTATGTAGCAAGCAAAAATTCTTTTTCTAACTCTCAATGACAAGGATATATTGCACAAGATGTTTTTCATTTTATAAAATGCAGTTTTTGCCTGTCCTATTCTATTTCTTATCTCAGTTATGCATCTTCCATCTGATGTTATCCATGTGCCCAGATACTTAAATTTCTGTACTTGTCCTAAAATAACACCATCAACTTTTATTTCAGGATAGTCTTAATATACCCATTTTAGACTGGGTCAACTTGAAAGCCAAAGTCCATTATTTATTTAAATGCCACCAGTGCAGATTTGGAAAGTGTTGAGCCACTACCCTACCACATCACCCACTGTTTAAGTAACCGACCCTCTTCCACACCTTCAGGCATACTGGGCATATAGGGCTAGACCTTTATTTTATAGTCCAATCGGCACTGGGTGGGCGATGTGGTCAACATCATGTCAGCCACCTTCAATTCACTTCAAGGACTTTACCTGGTCCCATTTGGGGCTCCGATGACCTGGGAGCCAAGCTAATTTTTGAAGAAAAAAAAAATATGAGGTACCAAACATAAAATACACTTGCTGAAAGCTGAGTTTCACCAGTTTTTTCCAGAAACATCCTCACTGAACAAGGATAAATTATACAAGTTCCCCACTCCAGTCTTAGTTCTCACAAGCAATTCCCATAATATTTCCTGGTACCTATTTTGGTACCCCAAATAAGACAAAGCAAGACAATGTATCCTGTTTTATGATAAAGTGCAGCTGGAACTATATCGGCACTATATATGCACTCACAATGGATAGGACAAGACTCCCCCGTCAAGCCCTTATATAGACACCAGAAGGGAACAGAAAATGGTGAAGACCAAGAGAGACCCAGCATAGAACCATCACCAGGGAAGGCTTAACCATGGGCCTAATGAACATCCAAGTCTTAAAAAAAAAACACAGGTGGCAATGAACCACCAGACATGGAGAACTATGACCTCTGCCCTATGCTCAAGAGGAAAGACTAACTAATCTATTTTTGGCTGGAACAACAGGCAGCCGATAGAAATATGATAAAATTACACTTGCGGAAGGATTTGAAAACAGGTCCACCAGGCAGGTATGCACAAGTGTCGGCCTCAGTGCTACTATAGCCCTTGGTATATGTGTATAAAATGATGTTAAAATTACCTTTCTTGCTCAATTGCTCACTTCTGTGAATAAAGGCATTTATTGTGTACAATTAAAAACTATAATGATTTATTTCTTCTGTTCTCACCTCTGCTGACAGATATATTGTAAAGAATGTTTATTCTGTGAAAGGCTGCTTTTGCTTGTGCTATTCTACATATAACTTCTTTAATACAGCTGATAAACTTTTGCTTGTGCTATTCTACATATAACTTCTTTAATACAGCTGATCAACTTTTGCTTGGGATATGCTACAATTAACTACTTTAATACAGCTGCTACTGATCAAGTTTTGCTTGGGCTATTCTACAATTAACTTTGTCAAGGCATAGAAGAGTGTCAGCACAGGAACTGAGACATGTTGTTGGAGGTCACAAGTTGTGTAGAGGCATGACTCCTCAAGTAAGTCATTTGATAATGCTGATAAATACTACTGCTGTTCTGCTGTTACAAAAGCACCCAAACACTTGAACAATTACAGACTTCAAACAATTAATTCACTTGAGGTAAATTAATTAACAAACAGACTACAAACCATTACAAATCCCACACAAACATTTGTAGAGCCCATACATCATACAATCACTCACCAATCCTACAACTCTCCTCATCTTGTGTGAACTCCAGCAAATTTCTGGCGTAGACAGGGTTGCCGACTGGTTTGTAGTTTGGACGGAATCTGACATGAGGCAGTGGTCTGGTTGGAAAAGCAATATATATACCATTGAATGGTCACTATTTTTGAACTGCTACATACTACTGAAGGGTCACTATTTCTGAACTGCTAAATGTTGCTGAATTGTCACTATTTCAGAATTGCTACTTACTGTTGAATTGTAATTACTTCTCAAATGCTTTATACTGTTGAATGCTCACTATTTCTGAATTTCTACCTACTAGTGAATTGTAATTATTTCTCAAATTATATATACGGCTGAATGCTCACTATTTCTGAACAGCTATATACTGTTAAGTTGCCGCGACAGAGCGGCTAGACGCGCGCAGCAGATCGGAAGGTCGTGGATTCGCTCCCTGGAGGAGCCGGACTTTTCTTCAAAAATGACCTTGGCTCCCAGGTCGACCCAGCCTTAAGTGGATACCGGGTGCAGTCCCGGGAAGTAGAGGCGGCCGGCGTGATGCTGACCACATCACCCATCTTTTGCCGTTGGTCTATAAAATATAGGTCTAGCCCTATATGCCCTATACTCCTAAAGGCGTGGAAAAGGGTCCTTTACTTTTTTTTTTTTTTTTTTTTACTTCTATACTGCTAAAGAATTATTATTTCTGACCTGCTACATACTGCTGAATGGCCACTATTTCTGAACTGTTATTAACTGGTGAATTATCATTATTTCTTAACTGCTATATACTGCTGAATGATTATTACTTTTGAACTGCTATATACTGCTGAATGATTATTATTTTTGAACTGATATATACTGCTGAATGATTATTATTTCTGACCTGCTACATACTGCTGAATGGCCACTATTTCTGAACTGCTACATACTGTTGAAATGTTACACACCACTTAATCATCACTTTTTGAAATGCTTGGAGGTCAGAGACCCCAAATTTGTTCTTTCATTCTTATTTTAAAAAAATCAACAACAAAAATCAGCCTTACTTGTCCCAATCTGGCAAATTCTTTCTGTAGATGGAATCCAGTGGTAAAACCTGCTGCTTTCCCTGTGTTCGCTGGTAAACCTCTTTAGCCTGTGAATGAGACACAGAACATGGCAAGGTAACTGTTTCTGAATAAAGATGTGTTTTCAACTGTCCCATGAAAGATTAGATAAGATTGGGAGTTAGCCCCATTACCCCATAATGTGACTTTTCCAAACATAATGGCAGTATTGCAGATTTCCACTTCAGTCTTCATCTCTTTTAGATGAAGCCTTATTATAGGTTTTCGAAAACAGGGTCTTGCGACGTATCTTCGGACCCATCAAAGATGCAAACAGCGGTAAATGAAGAGTGAAAAGGAACATCAAAATTCATAATCTGTTTAAATCACCACTGATCCCTAGCATCATGAGAGCTCATAGACTTAAATGGTTAGGACATACTGTAAAAATGTCAGATTACAGAGAAGTAAAAACTGTATACAGGATGGAGATGATTGGTCGTAGACCACGAGGCAGAGAAGATGATGGAGAGATAATATCCAGACAGACCTGCAAACACTTGGTGTCACCAACTGGAAAGAAAAGGCCAACCAGAGAGATGAATGGAGGCAGGTGATACCTGCAGCAATGAACCTCAAGAGCTCAGAATGCTGAAGAAGAAGAAGAAGTCTTCTATAGGTTCTTCATCTTAGCTTTTTCTTTTTAGTGTTCACCAGCTGTAATCTCTCGTGAAAGTTCTGGTTGTTCGTCCACTTTAAGACTTTGGTCTTGTTCCACAACTTGAGTTCTGCATGCAAATCTGTTTGATATGGCTTATTTGTATTCAGACTGTTAGTGCCTCGCCGCTCAGGGGGATATACCCCTAATTAGCTGCATCTGAAGAATGCTTGTTCGGTGGGGGGTGGGGGGTAGTGCATTCAAAATGGTGCACCAGGGATTCTGTGGGTTAACCATGACTGAATTTACTGAACAAAGTATGAGATCTGTTAATGTGAATTGTCACTAGATGATTCTGATGGAATTCTACAGGGACAACTCACCTTCTGTGTGGTGATGGTGACAACACAGTCCATATCTGCTGACATGTGCCATGACAGGACTCGAGCTATGTCATCTTGGTGCACTAGGGCTAAGTGAGCAATCTGAAACAGAACATGCCAGAAATACTTTAGCATGGGGGAGACTACAATAAAAGTAGTGATGTAAATGGCTGAGCGGTTAACCAAGGAAGTCAGGAATGTATTTCATTGAATGCTTCACTATGTTCATGTTGATTACTTCCTTAATTAAATACATTTCCACACTCACCAAAAATATTTACAAATGTTAGTAAATAATTTTTTAAAAACACTAATGACCTGTGTCAAATGGATTTTTTAAAAACCCGTCTGTGGGGAATTAATGTGGGTTACTTTTTCTGTTCTCTTATATACAGTGTTTCTGGAGCAAAAATGATAAAAACATTAGTACACCTACCTTTCCTAAAATATCCGGTTCTGGATCTGCAGGTGGTAAAAGACAAGATCTCCTTGGTGTTCGTAACACCTGTTCTCTGTCTTTGATTCTAGCTGCTATCAGTTTATCCACAGTGTCCACCTAATTGATGAAAAGGTAAGCAGGATTTCTTTTACCCATAACCAGTATAATTTGTTTTACCCATATTCAGTATAATTTGTTTTACACATATTTTCACTAGTTTTATCTCACAAATTTGGGCTGGAATCTGTTGCAGTTACATACCTAAAATATGTAAATGAAAACAGTCCTACTGTTATATAATGTGTATGTGCTATGCTAGTTACATCCTAATCAATCAGGTATGTCTTCACAATGAAGGTTGGCTGCAATGGATTCCCAAAACTCTCTGTCCTGGTTGTGCACTTTCAGAGACTGTTGTTCATTCATTTTTTTATGATAATCCTCATCTTTGTATCTACCTTTTGCTCACTTGCTTTCATTTTTCATATCAGTATGATTTTTTTTTTTAAGAGTGGTGGCTTTTAAAATGGCCAAAATATTGTCATCTTTTTTTTTTTTAAATTTCTCACAGCAACACATCCTGAAACAGGGAAGAAGAGTTTTGCAATTGCCTAACAGAAGAAGTATTTTGGTACCACACAGTGAGGAAAGTTTTGACACTAATTGCATTCTGATAGATACCAACGCATTTCAAGGCTCAGATATAATGAATGCCAATGCATCCAACTATTATAGAGTTCACTGTGTTCCAGAAGTTTTATAACCAACCAAACTTTTTGTGTGCATTTTGTTCATTCAATAAATATTAAGTGTAAACACAGCTGAGGAAAAAACAGCAATATATTGTTATAAGTAAAATAAATTAAAGCATCGCTTTAGAGGTCATGGGTCTTTAGTGGACAGGTTTTTCTCTCTGAGGCAAGCCGATATGTTGGGAAATGAATAGGGAGAATGGCCAGTAAACTAATGCATGACAAGTTAGGTGTCGTCAACGCACCGAGGAAGAAAGTGAGCAATGCAGACGAACAAACAGGATACTATGCTCCAAACAGAATAGTCATCGGGGTATTTAGCAGACATTCTACACTCAGAGGAAATTTAAATCATGCAGACACAAACAATACATTGCAACAATTTATTGCCAGGCCTATTTTGCTGTTTCTCGCCAGGTGCGTTACTACAGAGTTACATCAACATAAAATGAATCACACACACAAAAAAAACTGAATAAATCCAACTGAAATGCGAACAGTCTCTTTCGATGTGTTGTGTGTTTTGGCCGCCAGAAGTTCACAGTAGTCACGTGACTTACCAGGGTAACTTCAGATTTACCCAGAGGAAAGGCAAGGACGTATAATAAAACAACTACTGGTACCATCAGAAATAGAGTTGAGTTGAGTCAAGAATTGACATCACAGCACTCAGGGCATTCCCATGTGTGCTCTGTCCTAATCTTCATCAGCCAGCGCAGAGTTCCAATACTGATGGTACCAGTCACAATCTTGTTATATGTCTGTCTTGCCTTTCCTTTGAGTGTAGTGAGCCGGCCAGACCCTCTGGTTACACCCATGTGTCTCATTCTCTCCAGGCCATAATAATCTTGTTTCTCTACTGTTTCCGTTGCTTGTTCCCAAAGGGCCTTGACCACATCTGCCCTGTCATGTATCAATTCACCACCCAGTGGTGCAGATCCAGCCAATCTGCTTGTTCATTACCCATTATGCCGGCATGGCCTGGAGCAAAGTATGCTCACTACCCGTAGCCTTCCCAGTGAAGCTTGCCACTCTGCTTGAAGCATAACTGTCTTCACCTTTCTCAGCATGCCTTCAGAGTCATCAGAAGTAGAACGCTGTGCTGGCTAGTTAACATTGGGATTGGGTGCTTTTGGTAATATTCTGAGTGCTTTAATATCAGGTCTTAACTCAGTTAAATTTAATCAAATGTGAGGTGTTTTGTTGTGTACTCACAGATTGCAGGTGGTTGCCGGGAATGTTCTGTTTCCGAAGTTCTCCTCGAATGGTTTGTTCCTCTTTCTGGGAATCATGGACGGCAACTGTGTTCAAATAAATGAAGATACTGGAGATTATCTTTTTGGGGTGATTAGAGGGTAAGAGAGACTGAGAAAGACCAAATCTGGCTCCCAAACATCATCCTCATCAACTTTCACTTCCCCATAACGATAAGCTACAGAAGTGGAAGCTGATGACGATGATCTAAAGCTTTCCGCAACATAAAGTGATCAATAAATAAACAGGTGCTGATTAATTCGGACAACAGGAAAGAAAAAGAGATATTAAAGATGAGACTACAATCAAGGCATGTTTGTCTCTGTGTGTGTATCTGGGTCACTATTCTGATCTGGCAGCTTGCTTTGTTCCGAATGTACTGTGTTAACTTTCCTAGGAATCACAGCTCATGATGGCAAGAAATATATATATATATATATATTCAAACATGCCTTGATTGTAGTCTCGTCTTTAATATCTCTTTTTCTTTCCTGTTGTCCGAATACTAATCAGCAACATAAAGCACTATCATCTATTAAGATAAAAAGGTGCTCATTAAAAAAATGCATATATATATATATATATTTCTTGCCACTGGAAGACCACTGACAATGAAACCTTTAGAGGAAACACCAAACTTGACCTGCTCCCAGCCTGTATGTGCTGTGATAAATCATGAGCAGATTACACCCAAACATGATCCCAGCCTGTATGTGCTGTGATAAATCATGAGCAGATTACACCCAAACATGATCCCAGCCTGTATGTGCTGTGATAAATCATGAGCAGATTACACCCAAACATGATCCCAGCCTGCATGTGCTGTGATAAATCATGAGCAGATTACACCCAAACATGATCCCAGCCTGTATGTGCTGTGATAAATCATAACCTGATTACACCCAAACATGATCCCAGCCTGTATGTGCTGTGATAAATCATGACCTGATTACACCCAAACATGATCCCAGCCTGTATGTGCTGTGATAAATCATAACCTGATTACACCCAAACATGCTCCCAGCCTGTATGTGCTGTGATAAATCATGACCTGATTACACCCAAACATGATCCCAGCCTGTATGTGCTGTGATAAATCATAACCTGATTACACCCAAACATGCTCCCAGCCTGTATGTGCTGTGATAAATCATGAGCAGATTACACCCAAACATGCTCCCAGCCTGTATGTGCTGTGATAAATCATGAGCAGATTACACCCAAACATGCTCCCAGCCTGTATGTGCTGTGATAAATCATAACCTGATTACACCCAAACATGCTCCTTGACCTGCTGCCAGCTTGTAGGTGCTGTGCTAAATCATTACTTGATTACACCCTTATGTGCCTTTATGCTTATGTGAAGATCCAGTCCCTTGCCCACTTCCTGCTTCAGAGCCTTCCATACCACCGACGTCACTCTGATGGATACAAGCTCTTACAGGGCTTAAACAACCTGAACACTTCAAGTACTGGACTTAAAGTAAAACAAGTCTCAAAGAGGGCTCTCACCAACTATCACAACAATGTTGGCAATTTTGGCAGGACACAGGTCTTTGGTCAATGTCTGTGGCTTAAGGAGCTGTGAAAGCAGTTTCACAATCCCAACATACCAGAGTTTGATTTAATCTGCAGACCTTTTTTTTTCCATTGACAATGGTATGAGCATTGTGCCATTCAGGACGCAGTGGCAAACTACTGAACGTAAAATTGCCTAGTAAACCATAAAACAGCCAATAAATGCTGTCGTCAATTTGTGAAGACCTATAAAGAATGTGCGACTAACTGTTAACTTACCCCTGAGTTCTGCCACCAGCTGCTGTTGTGTTTCAAACATGGACTTGTATGCCCTGATTGTGTTCTGTAGTGCATCCCTTTCCTTTGACAGTGCTGCCATCTGCTGCTGCTTCTTAGCATCTGAAAAATATTTTCAGTTACATATTTCACAACAAAAACACGGACACTGTCTTCAGAAGACAAAGAAAAATAGCTACGACAGAAATGAAATGTTTACGTATTATGTTTGGTGTAACAAGAAAAGACTGACTTAGGAATAATGATATCAGGAGGAGAGTTGGCAGAATCAATAGTGAACTCGGAAGACAACAGATCAGATAGTTTGGCCATGCAACAAGATTGGCAATCTTCCAGAGAGCAAAGTTGAACAGATACAGTGGTAAAAAAGCCAGAGGTCGATCAAGCAGATGATGGATCATTTAAATATTGGAGACATTGAAAAGTACTAATAAAAACAAAGAGAAGAGAAGGGCAAGTCCCAGAAAACACTTCCTGCTGTGACAATGCAAGGCTTCTTATGAGTAGACAAAAGAAGAATAACATATTAACAACTGTTTTCACTCTTTCTATAACTCAGATATTTACCTCAAACCGAAATGTTTAAGTAACAACTACCAGGAAAAGAAGTCAAAAAAAAAAAAAAGATTCAGCAGGTCTTGGTTTTATGACTTCTAATGAAAGAAACTTATTGCTCAATTATTTCACTTTCTAAAACTTGTTTTTTTTTAATTGCCCTATTTTATTGTCCTGTTTATATCCCCTAAATACAACACTCAACTAATATTATCAATGTGTTGAGACACCTACATTTCTGGACTGGCACGAAATTAATTTAACTGAGTTTAATTGTATAGTTAGGCATGATCTTAGATACTACCATTACAGCCGATGAACATTCCTCCATGTTTTATATCTATTATTTTCTGTAGTTCCTTCTGACTTATTTCTCTCAAGATGGTGTCATCGGCATTAAGTGATTTATATAAAGACCATCAACCATGACCTATTGCATATTTTTTTAAAGATATAAATGTACAATAAAATGTTTTATCTCTCACAATATATAAAACACTAATAAGGCCAATTGTTCAATATGGCCCTATAATTTGGTATAAACCTTAAAAAAAAGCCAAAAATACTATGTACATAAAAGAGTGGACTGGGGATTTAACAAGAAGACAGTGGAGTGAAAATTTTAAGGCAAATTCACAAACAGTTGGATAGAAAAGGCTTATCAACGAAGGAACAGACAAGCAATTTTTATATGGGCTTGGAAAGCTGAAGCAGAAGATGAAGATCAATATTAACTAACTGTATAATGAAAACACCTGTCCTCATGCTTTAAAATGTCCCTTAATGTCCAGTAGCTTACGTACCAGTATAGAACAAGAAGGCAAGGTCCAGTGACAAACTTACCACTATAGAACAAGAAGGCAAGCTCCAGTGACAGACTTGCCACTATAGAACAAGCAATGTCCAGTGACAGTCTTACAACTATAGAACAAGAAGGCAAGGTCCAGCGACAGACTTACCACTATAGAACAAGAAGGCAAGGTCCAGTGACAGACTTACCACTATAGAACAAGAAGGCAAGGTCCAGTGACAGACTTACTACTATAGAACAAGCAATGTCCAGTGACAGTCTTACAACTATAGAACAAGAAGGCAAGGTCCAGTGACAGACTTACCACTTTAGAACAAGAAGGCAAGGTCCAGTGACAAACTTACCACTATAGAACAAGAAGGCAAGGTCCAGTGACAGACTTACCACTATAGAACAAGAAGGCAAGGTCCAGTGACAGACTCACCACTACAGAAGCAAGAAGGCAATATCCAGTGGCTTAGTTTCCATTTTAGAACAAGCAATGACAAATGACAGACTTACCGCTATAGAACACGCACTGTCGAGTGACAGACTCACAACTACAGAACAAGAAGACAATCTCCAGTGACCTAGTTAAAATTTCTTCTTCCTCATGTGCATTCATCCAATGATAAAAATGCATTCTACCTGTTTACAATGTGTTAGCCTTCCGATAGTTATCATTTTAGAGCAAGCAATGTCCATTGACAGACTTACCATTATAGAACAGGAATGCAATGTCCAGTGGAGGCAGGGTCTTGTTTTTAGGGATCATGTCACAGGTGACCGTACACCTCAAGTGGTACTCAAACCCATCTTTGCCTGGTGAGTTCTCTTGTAAAGTCAGGTTCTACAAATAAAAAAAAAAAAACAACTTTAAAAAAAAAAAAAAACCATGTTATCTTGTATGTTAAGATCTGTTAACAGTAAAGTTTACATTACACTTTGGCCAACTTACTGGTGCTTTGTTTTCATCATCATGCATCAAAATATATTTGAATAACAGTTTGTTTAAACAAAAAGTGTGTAAACTAGAATTTAAGGTAAAAGAATGGAAAAAAAAAAAACAGTTTAAAAAATTTTTAAAAGAAAAATTTATCAAAACTAAAACAGTAGGATAATTCTCTTTATATGTATACCTGTAAAACACACTGGCCATTTTGCAAAGCGAACTCCAAAAAGCTGTTTCCGTTTGTAAACACAGGTGTCTCTTCTGCCTTGACATCTGAGGAAATCTGTACCATGACCTTCCCACTGTAGCCTTTACCCAGAGGGTTGTCAAACTCATCCTAGAGGATGTAAACACATGCAACTTCTGGTGAGACAGAATATTGGATTTAAAAAAACAAACGTCTAGTGAGCAAATGTTAAACTTGTAGTAACAGATGTAAAGACACATAACAAACTGCAAGACTGTAATAAAACTGTCCTCATGGATGTAAAGACACACAGCATACTGTAAGACTGTTTGTCCTAGCAGATGTAACCACATGTAAAACATTGTAAGAATGTTTGTCTAAGCCGATGTAAAGACATGTAACATTGTAAGACAGTTGTCAAACTTGTCCTATCAGATGTAAGTAAAGACATGTAACACATTGTAAGACTTGTCAAACTTGTCCTATCAGATGTAAAGACATGTAACACATTGTAAGACTTGTCAAACTTGTCCTAGCAGATGTAAAGACATGTAACACACTGTAAGACTGTTGTCAAACTTGTCCTAGCAGATGTAAAGGCATAAAATATATAGTGAGATAGATGACAGACTTGTCCTAGCAGACATAAAGACACACATCATACTAAAAGACACTTAAAAAATGTGTCCTACAGATGTAAAAACACCTAACATTGTTATGCAGTTATCAATCAAACTTGTCCTAGCGAATGTAAAGATATGCAAGATTGTAACACAATTATTAACTTGACCTAGTGGATGTAAAGACATACAGCATGTTGTAAAACAGTTATCAAACTTGTTACAGCAGATGTAAAGACATATATAATTTAAGACAGTTGTAAAACTGTCCTAGCAAATAGATGTAAAGACACATATCATTTAAGACAGTTGTAGAACTGTCCTAGCAGACAGACGTAAAGACACATCACTGTAAGACAGTTGTCAAACTTGACGCAGCAAATGTAAAGACACACAGCATATTGTAAGACTGCTGTCAAAATTGTCCCAGCAGATATAAAAACACATAATATTAAGTGAGACAGTTACCACACTTGTCCCAGTGGATGTAAAGACACATAATGTGTAGTCAGACAGTTGTCAAACTTGTCTTGGCAGATGTAAAGACAGGCAGCACATTGTAAGTCAACTGTCAGACTTGTCCTAGCGGATGTAGACACTAATATGTTGTGAGACAACTGTCAAATATATCCTGATGGATACATTAAAACTAACTTTAATGTACAAATAGCAATCACAGATGCAGAAGAAAGAAATAGAGGCAGCAGGATACACCTTATCACACAAAAAACTGACTCACACAAAACACAAAGAAGCCTACCCGTAATTCTAGACGGACAGACTTGATCAATGTCCTGCTGGCAACACTCTTTGTGTTGGACACTGTTGGTGTAGACAGCCTGTCTATGGCAACCAGAGATGCAGGGGAGCCCGGACAAACAGTGATGGTGGACTGAAAGGTGAAGTGAAACACAGCTAAACAGTCATGTTCCCATAAATCCACCTAAATATCTGTATCAGTCACGTTCAGCTTGCACACTTCTTTATATCATAGTAGAGGTTGGCCTCGACATCTTGTACACATCTGTAATTCACCACAAAGGATGTCCTTTTTTGGAGTGTAACCCAGCAACTAGAGCCTTTGTAGACTGAGCATTGAGAAAACCGTTGTAATAACTGTTCTTTTCAACACCTCAGTGTTTGTGAACTTGTCTTGCTATTTAAACCCCAGTATTTTTCTTACACATTGCATAAGGTTTCTGAATATGGTAATATATTCTACTTTGTCAAAAATTTATCCTCAGGAATATAATAGGATGGTTTCCTTGTGCCTTCCACTACTACATCGTTAGTTCTGACCTCCGCCTTTGACAGCAACTTTGGGCTGTCAAAGCAAATTAGTGCCTTGCTCTGCTCAGGTGCAGATCTGCCCACTTAATCCAGTGGATATAAGGGGTTCCTATAACTGAGTCCACTGCCTAATCTCCACCACTAGTATGTCATCTAAATCTCCCAATTTGGGGGGAGAGGCTAAAATAACCCATACACTCCAAGCTCTGTATAAACTTGACCCTGATCAGTTAAATTCTGCAGCTATTTATTTGTCCACCGAAGTGGTTTCCCAATTAGCTAAGGCCTACGGACCCCTCTGATTTCTGAAATTTTGCTATGGATACGATTCTCTTTAACAGTCATACTGAAAATTGGGTACATTAATTTTAGATGACCTCATATAGTCCGCTTAGAGATTTGTTAGGGAAATACCTTAAACCTCCCATAACTTCAGTAAATATATGTTTTTCGATGGTCTTCGGCAACCCCTGTGAAATGATTCTTTGATCAACAAAAGGGTCGTGACCCACCGGTTGAGAACCGCTGTTGTAGAGGAAACATCACCAATATAAGTTAGTCCTTCTGTATCAGGCTATGCTTGCAACATAATATGCAGATTTATTATATATATATGTGTGTGTATGCACGCAAGCCTGTGTGTTTGTGTGCCAGAGAGAGAGGGGGAGGGAGTGGGAGAGAGAGAGAGATGATCAGATTCAAGACACATAAATAATACAATATGTAAACTGAGACATCATCATCATGTAGCAGGTCCATTGCATAATGTCACTCTCATCATGGTCTGCCTGAAAAACACTTGGTCTCTCGCCAGCTCTCTTGCCTCATGCACTTACATACCCAAGGTGTTACTTATTTGTCATGTGCATATCTTTGTGCTGGCCAGCCCCTACCCCTCTTTCCTGGTATCATGCCGACTGCTGTTATTATGAGACTCAGAAACAAAAATTAGACAACATGTGAAATTAAACTTAGAAACACAATCAAGACAACATGTGAGACAAGACTTACCACAGTACTGTAAAGCTCATAAGTTCCATCAAAGTAGACAAACATGATATTGTACTCCCCGGCTATAAACGGAACCTGGCACTTTCTGATAAACAGCAAGAGGGATAACATGAAACAAGAGAATCTATACAACCACATGAAATATAAAAAAACATAAAAATTTGATATTCTCCCTATTTTTATATTCTTCCATTTGGAAAAGGGTACTAGAGGGGGGACATGGGGCGAGTTTAGTTGAACTGACATCAATCACAGCACTCAGGGCATTTTCATGTGTTAGATGCCCATCTTTGTGGAGTCGCAGTGGCAGAGGGGCTAGACTCTTGCCGCGGATGGGAAGGTCGTGAGTTCGCTCCTTGGCAGAGCCAGACTTTTTAAAAAAAAAATGACCTTAGCTCCCAGGACGACCCAGCCTTGAGTGGGTACCAGGTGCAGTCCAGGGAAGTTAAGGCGGCCTGGCTGATGCTGACCACATCACTTATCTTGTGCAGATTTGTCTATAAAATCTAGGTCTAGCCCTATAAGCCAAAGGCGTGGAGACAGGTGCTTTACTTTAAATTGACTACTTTAAGATGCCTATCTTTAACAGCTAGAAAAAAGTGCTAATAATGCTGGTACCTGTAGCAATCTGACTAAAAGTCTGTCTTGCTTTTCATCTGAATGTTAAGTGTCAGCCAGATTCTTTCTCTCCAGAAAAGCATACACAATATGAAAGAAGATATTATTCTCTCTCTCTCTCTCTCTCTCTCTTGCAAACATTTACAAACTCCCTAATTAACAGTCCATAACAAAGACACATAAATGTACCTAAAATGGAAAGTGCCAGCTTCCTCCTTTGTTCCATTCTGAGGGCGTATGGTCAAAGCCTGAAACAAAACAATCAACATAACAAAAAATATATAGGACAGTACCTCTTAGAATACAACAAACCAATTGAAGCGGCGGCTCATTTTGGGCCTAAAATAACAAAGATCACACTTCAATTATTGGAGCTGCAGGAAAAAAAAGTGGGGGTGGGGGGGGGGGGGGGGGGGGGGGGTTTCTAGCCCACTCACCTACCGGTGAGGTGGTTCCTGGTTCAAATCCCCCTTCACTCAAGGACCTCATTTTTACAGATCATGACTCCAGGTTACACCCAGCTTCATAAAACGGACACCAGAAATGGGTATAAGTAATCTGTATTTTAGCAGAAGTGTACGGATGGATGTTTAGTCAATCATCATGTAGCAGTTTGCATTTTATGTTTCTTTAGGCTGTACATTGTTGTTTTACTGCATGCTGTATCATTACACAGGAACTTTCATGAACGTGTGTTACATTCATTATCTAGAAGTGATTGCCCAGGTAAACATGCTCTCCTCACAAGGAGTATGCAAAAGTATGAGACCCAAACTTGAAAATGTTTGAATCTAACTGAAGACACTACTTCAAAGACATTTTTCAGAACAACCTGATGATGTCACATGCTCCTCTGATATCTGGATAGTTAACATGTCTGGCTGTCTTGAAAAATGGTAAAAATAAATGGAAACAAACATTTCCCAGTTGTACGATGTTTGCAAAGTGCAAGCAAACAGAGGCTGCAATCGAATGAATAATATTTGCAAGGATCAAAAGAGTTTCATGTACAAGAATAAAAGGGCTTGCAAATACCTTCTTCTTCACCCTTAAAAGGATGGCTGACATGCTATCTTGTGGTTTACAGGTAAGCTGTGATATCTGTGCCTGTCAGCCCCACACATTCGATTCAGCCAACCCTTATTACAGGTCTGTTATGGGGCAGTGGATCAAAATTTTTTTAACCCCCAAAAGGGGACACCAGAACCAAGAAGGGAAAAACCCTACTAAAAAATTGTTTCATAGAAATGACAGTAAGACCATCTTCAGAAATTATAAAGCAGTTAGCCATTAAACTGTCCCTGGCTGAGATGCTAAAAGTGTAGTTACCTTGGTAACAACAAAGATAACCACAATAAAACTATTCTTCAGAAATGACAACAGCCATTTTCAGAAGTCAAATCTTGCCTAAGTTACACTGTCTGAGAAACCAACAGTGCAGTTACTTTGGTAACAATGAAAAAAAAACCACAATAAACTTATTCCTCAGAAATGATAATAGTGTCATTTTCAGAAGTCAATTTTCAGCTAAATGAAACTGTTTGAGATGCCAACAGTGTGGAGTTACCTTGGGTGGTGGAACGTTGTCGCTGCCGCTGTCCTTCTTCCACAGCTTCATGGTGACATTGTCAGGGTTGGATGTTGGCAGCAGCTTACCACTCTCTGACTTGACTGTCACTGTGAAATCTGACAGATGGAAGAGGTTCAATTTATGATTTGATCTTCTTAATTCCACTCTGTGACTTGAGAGTCACTGTGAAATCTTACTCATGGAAGAGATTCAATTTATGATTTGTTTGTCTTAATTCAGGGGAGATGATTACATGTAAACAAGCACAAACACTCCTCCTGCTGTAATGTTTCTCTTTCTTCTCTCACCTGTGTGGGATATAAGAATGTGGTGTATGTTTGCCAAAAACACATAGACTGTAATCTTGTCATTCCTGTTTTAGCAAAGGAGCAGAGGAAAGTAAAACCTGCTTAAATGTCAGTCTGTCAAATGCACTGCTTTCTGTCTGTAATCTTCTGTTCTTTGATTCAAACATCCAATGTAAAAAACAACAAACACATGGAGATGTGTGGTAAAGGCAGTACATGGTAACAAAACAACACACAAAAAGGTGGGGGTGGGGTGGGGGTGGGGGGGGGGTGGGGGAGGGAATTGAGCATGAAGAGTCAGATCAAGGGACGGAAAGAAAGGAAAAGCATAAAGAGAGCAAAGAAAGGAAAAGAGAAGCTGGGCCTAATAGGACAATGTGAGAGAGGATTAAAGAGTTTAAGAGGCCAAAAATAAAGACAGAGAGACAGGAAAATAAGAGAGAAAATAAGAGACAGAGTGAGAGTAGGAAAGAGAGATAAAACATAAAGATATAAAGACCACAATACACATGCATCTAACCTGGTAATGTATGCCCAGCAATGACGGAATGTTTAGTGTTGTAGGAGACATCAATCTCTACAGGCCTCATGGAGTCTGGCTGTACATCCAGTGTGAACTTGGGGCCGTAGATGACACTTCTTCCTATGGCAGCCTTTGGTTGCAGCTCATAGGTTCCGCTGTGGAAACAATGTAAATATACTCTGTTGGCTGTCTACATGAGGTGATACATTCATTGATTCATTTATATTTGGGGGTAGCTTTCAACCCTGATTCAAAGCAATGTGTTCCCATTAGTTACTCCTTGGATGATTTAACAGTGAGATAGCTGAGAGACTAGCACTTTAGCCTGCAGACTCAGTGGTCATGTATTCAAATTACCTAACATGGTGGATACTTTAAATGTTATCACAACTGATGTTACTGTGCATTGGGCACTCCCATGTGTGCTTAGTCATCCGATGCTGCAGCCACTCCAAGGTACCTCAAGGAATATTCCCATGAGGAGCTGGTTGTAATGTCTACTATCTTAACCTCAAAGGCAGCAGACATGCTTTACCGCCAGGTCCTACAATCATATAAGTGTCTGATGCTTAAAAAATAAATTGACCTTAGCTCTCAGTCTGACCCAGCCCAAAATGGGCATTGGAAAATACTAATGGAAGAAAAAGCAACTGACATGATGCTGACTTCATCACTTATTGAGTGATGGTAAAAGCAGGAAACTAGCACCAAAGCCCATTACATCTCAACAAACAAAAAGGCTCTTTAGTCTTTAAATGCCGTAAATTGATAGCAATCTTTTCTTCAGCTGTGCGAAATACATTTTTTCAAGTATTTTATGTAACAGAGCCAGTAAAAGTGTGAGAATCATTGCTACATTGATTTGTTTTACTATAACTGTACAGAGCAGCCACAAACTCTTGTCATGCACAAGCATATGATGTCTGTTCTTTTCGTTCTCTGTCACAGAGGAACAAATTATCTGTTTGTTGCAACCTGGGATGAGAGGAGGCTGGTTAGATCAATCCAGGAATGAAAATCTACAGGGTGCCCCATTGTTTTTCATACACACATTTTCATACACAGCACCAACACCATTATAAGCATAACTCCAGCTGTGCTCATACGTGTTCTTCAGCAGGGGAAGAAACACATCGAAATGTGCTTTCCTATGTACGGAAACTTATGGACACCCTGTATTACTATTTAAATAAATCTTTTCTGCAGTGTATTTAAACAGTAAGGACACAAACAATACACTGCACAGTTTACTGTCTGGTACATTTCACTCCATCTCACCAGGTGCATAATACAGAACTTACATTAATGTGTAAGTAAGCTCAAAAATGAATTCTTTTACTGACATTCTTAAATCACACAGGTCATTGTTACAGGGGATTGAAGAACGCACTGCAAATGATCAAAGTCAGGCAATTAAAGTACTGCACCCATTTAAACAGACAGCTTTTTGTCAAAAGGATGTACTAAAAGGAGGGGGGTAGGGGAGTAGACGGAAGACATCATATATGGGAAGACAATATTAAAAAGAAACTGAGCGGAAGAAGCCTGGATGAATGCTGTGGAAAGACACTTGACAGAAGGCGCCGAAGGCTAACTACAACAAACATTCAGTCCAGAGACAATGACTATGAAACAACCTACCAGTTTGCCTGGATAGTCAGGATGCCAAAATCTGCAACACCCGAGCTGTCAGTTTTCACATAGCTTGGGCATGGCTGTATCTGCAGATTCATAGGCAGAAGAAACAACCCAATAACTTATCAGCTACAGATACAAGGGAGTCAACTGCTGAAACTTTTATCTACAGTGTTATAATACAATACTATAATAAAAAGTCTGAGCTGCTTAGCTGATCCCAGAATCTTGAAAGTAATGAAGAAGAACAAATGAATTCCCTAAATGGGGAGATGAGACCACTGTGTTCATACAGCAGACTGCTATGTTGGTATTTAAGACCTCTGTGTTCATACAGCAGACTGCTATGTTGGTATTCAAGACCACTGTGTTGGGAGACCAGAGCACTATGTTGGAAGACCAGAGCACTATGTTGGGAGACCAAACCACTATGTTGGGAGACCAGACCACTATGTTGGGAGATCAGACCACTATGTTGGGAGACCAGACCACTATGTTGGGAGACCAGACCACTATGTTGGGAGACCAGATCACTATGTTGGGAGACCAGACCACTATGTTGGGAGACCAGACCACTATGTTGGGAAACCAGACCACTATGTTGGGAGATCAGACCACTATGTTGGGAGACCAGATCACTATGTTGGGAGACCAGACCACTATGTTGGGAGACCAGACCACTATGTTGGGAGACCAGACCACTATGTTGGGAGACCAGACCACTATGTTGGGAGACCAGACCACTGTGTTGGGAGATCAGACCACTATGTTGGGAGACCAGATCACTATGTTGGGAGACCAGATCACTATGCTGGAAGACCAGATCACTATGCTGGAAGACCAGTCTACTATGTCAGGAGACCAGACCATTATGTTGGAAGACCAGACTACTATGTCAGGAGACCAGACCACTATGTCAGGAGACCAGACTACTATGTCTTGAGACCAGACCACTATGTCAGGAGATCAGACCACTATGTCTTGAGACCAGACCACTATGTCAGGAGACCAGACCACTATGTCTTGAGACCAGACCACTATGTCTTGAGACCAGACCACTATGTCAGGAGACCAGACCACTATGTCAGGAGACCAGACTACTATGTCAGGAGACCAGACCACTATGTCTTGAGACCAGACTACTATGTCAGGAGACCAGACTACTATGTCAGGAGACCAGACCACTATGTCAGGAGACCAGACCACTATGTCAGGAGACCAGACCACTATGTCAGGAGACCAGACCACTATGTCAGGAGACCAGACCACTATGTCAGGAGACCAGACCACTATGTCAGGAGACCAGACCACTATGTCAGGAGACCAGACCACTATGTCATGAGACCAGACCAGTATGTCTTGAGACCAGACCACTGTGTCTTGAGATCAGACCACTGTGTCTTGAGACCAGACCACTGTGTTGGGAGACCAGACCACTGTGTTGGGAGACCAGGCCACTGTGTTGGGAGACCAGACCACTGTATTGGGAGACCAGACCACTGTGTTGGAAGACCAGACCACTGTGTTGGGAGACCAGATCACTGTGTTGGGAGACCAGACCACTTTGTCAGGAGACCATACCACTATTTGGGAGACCAGATCACTATATCAGGAGACCAGACCACTATATCAGGAGACCAGACCACTATATCAGGAGACCAGACAACTATGTCTTGAGACCAGACCACTATGTCTTGAGACCAGACCACTATGTCTTGAGACCAGACCACTATGTCTTGAGACCAGACCACTATGTCTTGAGACCAGACCACTATGTCAGGAGATCAGGCCACTATGTCAGGAGATCAGGCTACTATGTCAGGAGATCAGGCTACTGTGTCAGGAGACCAGGCCACTTCCTCAGGAGGCAAGACCACTATGTCGGAAGACCAGACCACTGTCGTTAAAAGCACCAGAAAGCCGTGAAACCGTCTAACCACCCTACAAATTGTTGGACTGTCCTGTGACGTCATCTGGGGTAGGATATGAATAAACAACCGAATTCCTATATATTACAGGAATCCATAAAGGAAGCAAAAACAGTTAGTACAGTAAACTATCCTGCATGTTGTAAAAGACAATTCAGGAGGGTTGGTGTGAGGTAGGCTACTATATTCCATGGAAAATTAAGTTGCAAAATCCAATTACTCATGAATAAGGCTATAAGGGGACTAGGCTTCAACAGGAGATAAAAAAGGAGCACAAAAATAAGTTACTACCTCACTCGTTTATTTTCCTACTGTGCCATTATAAGTCACATAAACATCACAGTCTATTTCCCCATTCCATTCTTCTTTTCTCTACTCCTGTAATGCCTCGTGGCGTCAGGGTGGGATGTGATCTCTGGTGAAACAGGCCGTTCTGTTTGCTTTGTATAAAGTACTCTTCAGTGTCTCTGATATTTCTACGGTCCATATTCTGCGAGGTCGACCTCTGGTTCTGTTATCACTGTATCTCTATAACATTGCTCTCTGTGGTGCCCTGTCTGATGTCAATCTTGTTACATGGCCAAACCATGTGATTTGTTGTTAACCTATAAAGTTTAGTATTGGTTCTGTGCCAACTCTCCACCTGATGTCATCGTTCCTTAGTCGATCTTTACTCTTGTCACACCTAGCATAGCATGTAAACATTCTATCCTGTGCAATCAGTGCAATATCATGGATGGGGTCCAGTCCAGCACCTTTGGCTTCTCTCAGCAACGTTCGCCTTAGGGTTTCTCCTGGGCATCCTCAAGCAACTAACTGATAAATCTCTATTAATCTGATTATGTAAATATTAAAATATCATTCAAAACAGTCATGTACAAATAACAACTTTCAACTGAATCTTTTCCCTGTGTGGGTTCTGGGGCCCTATTACATTCTGGGGCCCTATTACAGGGAAAACAAGAATAGACCCACTGCCTACCCAAAAGTATGTCGTAAGAGTCAACTAATTGGGAGCTTCCTTCAAAGTCAGAGTGCATCTGCCTGAGAGGCAAGGAACCAGCAGTCTGCATACAAATGAGTCAGATCTGTAAAACGGATGCACACGCAACACTCAGGTTTCGGAACAGGACTGCAGTCCAGAAGTGGATGAACAACCAGAACTTTCCGCCAGAGTTTACAGCTGGTGACCGGGGAGAAGAAGAGAACTGAATCTTATTATACAACCACCAACTCTGATTATTCTGTACAGTCTGAATTTTGATATGTAAATTTCTACTTTCAATTTTAAACTTGACACAATCTAAAATGTAATCTAAACATCCTATACCATGGGTAGACAACCTGTTTTTTGTTGTTGTTGTGCACAGGCCAAATATAGAACTGTCAACCTGGTCGGGGCCATACGGGAAACAATTTATTATAAATGTAACACTCAGAGTTCCTTGTATCATGATATTTTGTGGGATAATCTAAGATTATAAAGATGTGGGGACATCAGTTTCTGGTTATCCTTGTTAAGATCCCTTTTTCTGGATTCTTATATTTATAACTGTTTCTCCATATGAACAGGTTTTTGTCTTCTGTTGTTCTGTGAGCAGAAGGGCCAGATTATTTAGTAATTTTGCATAAAATAAAGATTGTACAGTCCCCACAGTGTGCCTGTCAAACAGGACCACAAACACCCCAGGAGATTCTGCAGACCTGCCCACTCTACCTGCAACTTCAAAAAGACACCTGGCCTTAAGAGCAAAGTGTGCAGAGCAAGCTATGGGGAACCATGCAGGACCTGCAGCTGACATGCGAGTTCATAGAGGCAACCCACCTGATGGTCTGATCTAAGCATACAAACTGAACACAAAGAAGAAGAAGATTTAGTAATTTTACACCAGCTTTGAGGGCCAGTAAAAAAACTGCTCAGCAGGCCAGTTTTGGCCAGCAGGCCAGTTTTGGCCAGCAGGCCATAGTTTACCCACCCCTGACCTACACTTGATGGAAACAATTAAAAACTTGATCTGCAATCACATTACTTTGATGTAAACCATTAGGAACTTATTTACAAATATATATTTAAATCTAAGTACTGACGTACAAGAACTTACTTTGATCTTGCTGTAGACAATCTGAATCTTGATGTCTCCAATTTTGCAGACGTTGCCATCAGCATCCACAAGCTGAACTCTGAGGGGGTGTAGCATTGGTTTGTCATTGTGTACCACAACCGGCTAAAGAAATGAGACATAAGCAATTCTCTGTCAATGGCCAAAAAAAAAACAATGACAGGAAATCCAACAATAACTCTTCCTCTACTTCTTCTGCATTTATCTTTGAAAGGGTGGTTGGCATGCTGTGTTGTGGTTTACAGCAATGCTGTGATATCAACAAGAACTCAATAATGAAGACAATTTTTATGAACTGTTTCAACAATGCTAAGTTTTTTCCCACTGAGAAATCAGTCAGAAATAAACTAGTGTATTCCCTGTGTGGTTATTTCGGCCCTATTTGGCGGCAGCGAAGTGGGGATGGGAGATTGGGGGAGAAGGGCATAGGCATACAGCTCTTTAATGAGCATCTTATAAAAGATTACTAATTAAGGGTTTGTTGAAATCGGATGTATTGGACAGAGAAGTGCAGATATCACAGCCTAGCTGTAAACAACGCAAGGTGCCTATCACCCCTTTAAGGGTAAATGCAGAAGAAAATTATTGTCGTACACCGTATGTCATGGGGATATAAGAACAGAAAATGGAAATTAGTACTCCACATGTGGGTTCTGCAGCCCTGTTTTGGGGGCAAAAAAAGAATAGACCCACTACTTCCCTGCATCATAACAGTTGACTAATAAGGGTTGTTTACTTTGTAGTCGCAGTGCATCTGCCTGAGAGGCGAGGAACCAAAAGTATGCTTACAAATAAGCTAATTAAACGGATGTGCACGCAAAATTCAAGCTCTGGAACAAGACCAGAAGGGGATGAACAACCAGAATTTCTGTTAACAGCTGACGAACGTGATGAAGAAGAAGAAGATACTGAAGAACTTATAATTTATAAAAATTAGAATAAAAAAAAGGCATGCATTCCTAATTTGCGAGTTTTTGTGTAAATGATATCATGGACCCCTTAAATTTGTTCCACAGACCATCAAATAGGAAACACTGATACACAGGAATTTCAAAAGAGAATTACTGGGGAAAAGTTCAATACAGAACAAGCCACTGTACAATGGTGACATATGAAATAGGCAACAGACTATTTGCGACAATTATACCCCTATAAAGTGTTGGTTTACTATTCTTCTTGTCCTTCATGCTTAGATCTCTTATTTAGCTTAGCCTCTTTTGGGTAACTGATCTTGTAGTCTAGTCCATGGTGGAGATACACAGTCATCACTTGATTCAGTTAATGGCCCTGCCTCATTGAGGACATTCAGTATAGCAGCCCAGTCTATTGCTCTAGAATGTTCCATAGTAGACCTATATTACAGATAGCTACTACAAAGAATATTTTTTTTAATGGCCTTGAAATATATTATTTAGATGTGCAATTAAAAACTTTCAAAATTGAGGCATTTGGTGACAAAAAGGTTTCATCCAAGAACAGAGTGACAGATGGACAGTTATTGTCACTAAATAGTGTGCAGATGACTGGCAATGGCTTTCATGCTTTTCTCCTTCCTGCAATCTCTTATAACAGCATGCATGTACTAACGGCCCACCCTGCCTGCATGTACTGACACCCCTCCCTGCCTGCATGTACGGACACCCCACCCTGCCTGCATGTACTGACATCACACCATGCATGCATGTACTGACACCTCACCATGCCTGCATGTACTGACGCCACAACACGTCTGCGTGTACTGACACACCATGCCTGTGTGTACTGACAGAACACCCCGCCTGCATGTACTGACACCATACCATGCCATGATAAAAGGCTGTCAGGAATCATCTCTCATTGTCTTTCCTGATATACTCTCAACTCGTCAATCAAACAACAAAATTACACTTACTCTTCAACGAGACAACCAATATACCCTCATCTCAACGAAACAACCAATATACCCTCACCTCATCAACCAGCCAATCCAACACCTGCAGTGCAGCCGGGGGACCAGACAGCACCTCAAATCTGGCATACTGTTTTAGGTCTTTCCACTTCAGCTCCACTTCCTTGGTGCCCATTTCTGTGAAAATCAGGTTGCTCACCTGAACTTGATGCTGGTGACAAAGAACAAAGAGAAAAACAGAAAACTATAAGCATTCAACAGTTTCCCTGAGATATCTTCTTCTTTTCATTCATCTCAGTGAAGTAACTGCATAGTACCTATTTACTGCAAAGCTGTGATATTTGTGCCTTTCGACTTCATTTAGCATTTGTTGATTGGGGTCACTTCCCAGATAGGTTCGTTGTTTGTTGAGTTTACTACATGTCATGGGCTGTGCCCTCCGGAGATCAGCAGAGAGCATCCCGCAGGTTTGGGACTGTGATGACCACACAAAGAGGAACATTCTTCTTCAGCACATTAGACACCTCTAATGTTTCATATAAACACTTAGCATGACATTGTGACAATGCTGGGAAAAGCATGCCACAGGCATGGCTTCCCCTATCTGGTCCAAACACTCTGGCAAGTGGGGTCAATGGTAAGACATGTATGTGAACCTTTCTGCCAAACAGGAGGACTTTTGACAGTTGGACATTTAAGACTTTGCTGTTACGCCACAGGACATGTTTCTGATGGACATTTGGGCCTAATCAGCCAGTGACAGTGGCACAATGTCACAGTGCACTTCAACGCAGTGACGACGACGCTGAGGATCGACAAAGGATGTGCGGAGACAAGATTGTAACACAAGATATGGCCTGCAAGAGATGACGCTCATCTAAGCTGTGAGCAAATCTCTTGATCTAGGGCCGAGTCTTAGCAGTTCAGTAGCTCTTTCACTCAACAGATGTTTTATCCCAGGTTTGTCGTTAAGAGAAGATGAATTCATAACAAAGAACCAATATAAATTTCAAGTTCTCAACAACAAAATTGTTTTCCTATGATGTCATACATTATGATACATGTCTGTCAAATAATTCATGAGGTAATACTAAGTAATTCTTAAAATGGAACCAATAAAACTGATAAGTTATTTTATAATAGTATGATGCATTATAATGAGGTATTCACACAAGTATCGGATAAGTCAGAAAAAAAATATCAAGTAAGAATATAATAAAATGAAGTGTGGTTGGCTCAGTGGTTAAGAACAATGGGCTCTCATTAGGGAAAGCCAAGTTCGAATCTTCGGTAGACAGTAACAGTCAAAGACTGGAGGCTCAGGAAACAATGACTGATGCTAACAAGGTTATCATATAACAGTCAAATAAATTATCATGAGATATTTGCAAAACCAAATACTTATAAGGAATTATCAAATAACTTATAATAAAAACTCATAAATCTGTTAGGGAAACTAAGTGGTCTCGAGACATGGCGTCTGCCTCGAGTGCTGGGGGTCCTGGGTTCAGGCTCCAGTGAAGGCTGGTAGTTTTTAACGTGGACCTAGCAATTTCCCCTGGTCTCTGGGTGGTAAGATTAGACACCTGTGCATATTGTTGCGCAGATTAAAAAAATCCCTTGGCAGTTGTAAATTGAAAAAAGTAGCCTAACGGCGCTGCCCGGGCAAAATTTGGAGTTAAAAATCTACCTAAAGTATTTCAGAATCCTCGCCGGTGCTATGGAGTTCATGCACTGCGCTGAGATTCTTTGGACTCAGGCTTGAGTTAAAAGTAGAACGAAGCACTTATGGGTTACCACCCTTGTGCCATGACCTTGATCCATTGTTAAACAGAACAGATAAACAGATCATAAATCTGTTAGATAACAGACAATAAGTACTCACATTTGTGGCAACAATGTTGATCTTGTCTGTATTCAAGGCTGCACATGACACAGACAAATCTTTCTTGAATGAGTCTGGAACCTGAGAAACATCACATCATGCAGAGAATAATGTGAAAAACAACGTAAATACAAGCAGATAAGTTAAAGGACCCTTTTCTCACCTGCCACATAGGGCATATAGTGCTATTTTTTGTTTTGTTGGGGGGGGGGGGGGGGGGGGACCTAACAGCAATCGATGGATGACACAGATAACATTATGCTGTGCATGATTACTTCCAAGGATATTTTATGGTAGAGTAGTGTGAATAGTTGTATTTCATGTAGTCATATCAATTTGAGATCTGTGGTACTACAATGGCTAATACGCTAGCCTCCCGAACTGGGTTGTGGAAGAAGAAGAAGAAAAAGAAGAAGCAGTATTGTTGAAAGAGAACAGAAATAAAGCAATGGGTTAAACGGCAGATGTAAATAGTAATTTATAGAACTGATTCAAATGCAAGAGAGCAGAGGTTAAGAAACAGAACTCTTAACAAAAGTGTTAATTCAATGAGGAGGAGGCTAAAGAGGAAAGCAGAAAAAGAGATTAAGAAGGAGAAAATGAAAATAATAAAGAAGAAGTAGCTGCAGGAGGAGGAAGAAGAAGCAGGAGAAGCAGCAAAACTTAAAAAAGTAGTGAAAATTATAATGACTGTCAAAAAAAAAAAAAAAATTGAAAACTGTCATTTGTATCTGCATTTAACAATTTTTGCAAAGCAGACAGGAAAGTCTTTGAAAAAAAAGGGTAGGGTCGAATGGCTAGTGCAGTTGTCGCCACAGACTGCAGGTTAGGCAGAAGTAAGGCACACAAAGAATATGTAATCTGCACAGGAAGTATTTACCTGAGTAGGGTTACCATAAACATCCTTGAGGCTGATGTTGATGACTCCCTGCGCAGGCTCCCTCAAGAGAGCACCACTGCCATCCACAACCTGCAACTCCATGTGGCATGGAGGACTTGGTTTAGGTCTGGGAAAAGGAGGTAACATTTTTTTAAAAATATACATAACATCACTTCTGACACAGAAATATACCTGTCTACTAACGCAAATTTTGTAGGAATTATTTTTGGGTCAACATCATGCTACCAGTATCAAACATGGACCCTTGCTACAACATGAGTTGAAATCACAACAACAGAGTTAAGATGTCTTAGAAAAGCTGTCAGAGTAAGAAGGAATGTTGAATGCTGAAGTAAGAATCAACATCACAGCACTCTGGACACTCCCATAAGTGCTCCACCTCCATCTTCAGCAGCAAGCGAAGAGTTCCAATTCTGACGGGACCAGCAACGGTCTGATTGTCAATCTGTCTCGCCCTTCCCTTGAGTATCGGCCAGATCCCCATCTTCGCAGCACCATTCTCGGCAGACTATATTGATCTATTTGTGCCCCCTCACTGTTCACTCGCTCCCAAAGGGCCCTCACATCATCTAATTTGTCATACATAAATTCACCACCACATGATGCAGAACTGGCCAGTCTATCTGCCTACTCATTTCCCAACACACCCGCAAACCTGAAGAAAATATCCAAAGGATGCTAACTACCCGCAAGCTCTGAAGCAATGCTTGCCACTCTGCGTGGAGCATGCCTGTCTCCACATTTCTCAACATGCTCTGTGAGTCAGTTACAATTACGACGTGTGTGCAGTTGATTCTCAAGTCAGCAGAAGGCAGTAATAACTGCCTCCACCTCCATTCTCAAACTAGACATCTGTCGGAGTAAGATAAATAGATAAGATTAAAATGAAATATTTAAAAGTCTATGACTGAAACCAGTCACATAATTCATTCAAGAGCAAAAGATGAGATGATTATAACCATCTGACAAGAATACCCTGAAGTGTCATGAAGAAATACAATGAACACAGAGCAAGATGAAGACCACTCAAAAATGGAAATAGGACACCAATAACTTGCAAAACCATTTATCTCTGTTATGAGCCTTCTCTTTCTCTATTCATCTCTGTGATGAGCCCTCTCTTTCTCCATTCATCTCTGTGATGAGCCCTCTCTTTCTCCATTCATCTCTGTGATGAGCCTTCTCTTTCTCCATTCATCTCTGCAATGAGCCCACTCTTTCTCTGTTTATGCCCTCTCTTTCTCTGTTTATCTCTGTGATGAGCCCTCTCTTTCTCCATTCATATCTGTGATGAGTCTTCTCTTTCTCTATTCATCTCTGTAATGCGCCTTCTCTTTCTCCATTTATCTCTTTGATGAGCCTTATCTTTCTCTATTCATCTCTGTGATGAGCCTTATCTTTCTCCATTTATTTCTGTGATGAGCCTTCTCATTCTCCATTTATTTCTGTGATGAGCCTTCTCTTTCTCTATTCATCTCTGTGATGAGCCCTCTTTCTCTATCCATCTCTGTGATGAGTCTTCTCTTTCTCTATTAATCTCTGTGATGAGCCTTCTCTTTCTCCATTCATCTCTGTGATGAGCCTTCTCTTTCTCCATTCATCTCTGTGATGAGACTTTTCTGTCTCTATTCATCTCTGTGATGAGCCTTCTCTTTCTCCATTCATCTCTGTGATGAACCCTCTCTTTCTCCATTCATCTCTGTGATGAGCCCTCTCTTTCTCTATTCATCTCTGTGATGAGCCTTTTCTTTTTCCATTCATCTCTGTGATGAGCCCTCTCTTTCTCTATTCATCTCTGTGATGAGCCTTCTCTTTCTCCATTCATCTCTGTGATGAGCCTTCTCTTTCTCCATTCATCTCTGTGATGAGACTTTTCTTTCTCTATTCATCTCTGTGATGAGCCTTCTCTTTCTCCATTCATCTCTGTGATGAACCCTCTCTTTCTCCATTCATCTCTGTGATGAGCCCTCTCTTTCTCTATTCATCTCTGTGACGAGCCTTTTCTTTTTCCATTCATCTCTGTGATGAGCCCTCTCTTTCTCTATTCATCTCTGTGATGAGCCTTCTCTTTCTCCATCATCTCTGTGATGAGCCTTCTCTTTTTCCATTCATCTCTGTGATGAGCCTTTTCTAAATTCATCTCTGTGATGAGCCTTCTCTTTCTCCATTCATCTCTGTGATGAGCCATCTCTTTCTCCATTCATCTCTGCGATGAGCTATCTCTTTCTCCACTCATCTCTGTAATGAGCCTTCTCTTTCTCCATTAATCTCTGTGATGAGCCATCTCTTTCCAGTTGGTGACTACCCATATTTGTAGGTCTGTAAATGATCTCTCAACTAACTTGTGTATACAGTTTTTGTGTATACATCTCGACAATTGTAATCTATAGCTCTTATGATGCCAGCTGTCACAGATTCCAATTTATACTGAGACAGGAGTTGAACTCTTTTACCCACAGAAGCTGAATACAATCGGCATTTCCGGTTAGGCCCAGTTTCCCGTAAATGTCACTTTTCGACTTGCCATTCGTGATCTGTTTAACCAGATGTACATAATTATTGCAATTGGTTGAGTTCACGCCTGTGAAAACATTCAGGTCAGGATGTTAATAAATTAACTAATAATATAATTTAGAGTGGTTTTCCTTTGTTCTAAATGGCTTTTTTAAAGCCAAGATTATGTCAGATTTTCTCATAAGCCTCCTCGTAAAAGTCACAGCATGAGTCAGCCGATACATTTTTTTAAGGCCCCGGGGATATATTCAATTTAATGATTTGCCCTGTACATGTTTGCTGATTACATCTTTCATTTATATATTTCAAACAATCACTTTAAAATGTCGATAAATACATTTTAAATGAATTCATAAAAACTTGTTTCGAATTAATTTTTTTAAATCAGGGGCCCTAACCATGACACATTTTTTTTAAACGAGTTTTCGAAGCAAAAAGGTTACAATTGATTTGGGCAGCAAAAAGGGCACCAGCAAAGGCAGCTGACATGATGCTGACCACATTACTCGTCAAGTGTCAACTGGTCTACACAAACATGGTTTAGAACCATATACTCTAACGGCTCAAGATGTAGACAAGAACCCTTTATCTTTACTATGACCTCATGACACACACCTGACACAAAACTGAAGTTCGATTCCCTCTCCTTCCATGACACTGGCCTGGCAATACTTCTGCTCCAGCACAGAGGTCGACACTTTAATTGGTGGCAGTACTTTCTTTAGGGCCATATCTTTGGGGACTTTTGGTGCCCAGTTCACCTGTATAGAGAAATAGTAGGCAAGTTACACCTGCACACAGTGAATGACTTAAATTTAGTGAGAAGAATCATTTACAAGATATGTGGTTCTGCAAAAACAAATTCCGAAGCTTCGAAGTTTCAAGTCAAGAGAATCAATTTCATTGTACCAGGTTTTATCTCATATGGTTCGACCTCTTAATGCAGAATGGCTAGCATCTGCCAAGAGCAAAAAATTAACTATCTTCAGCAACAATCCCTGGGATCTCTGTAAAAACTGCACTTGTGAACCAAATTACAGTCCATGAACTAACCTCACGACCGAAGCTTCACTGCCTAAATGAATTATCTAGGTGTGAAACAAGTTGAAGCATGAAGACAGCTTCTCAGAATCATCAGAAAGAGGCAGTAGTCATTATTTAACCATATCATCATAAAAAAGAAAAAAAAAACATATTGTGATAAGAACAGATTTATGGAAAGACAATGTAAAAGACAAGATGTGACCCCTGACAGCTTTTCGCCATGACACGGTGGGTGTCAGTGCATGCATGCTGTTAAAGAGAATATAAGGTGTGGAAAAGCATGAACACTTAATCATTTGGTCACTAATTAGTGACAATAACTGTCCGTCCGTCAATATGTTGTCTAATTAATGGATGAGGTTTTTTGTGATAACATCTGCCTCAATGTTTAAAATTTTTATAGCACTTATAAATATTTAATTTCAAGAAAACTTTTTTAGATATTCATTATATTAGCTATAAATAGTAGGCCTACTGTGGAAAAGAAAAGAGCAAGAAACTGGGCTGCTTTATTAAATGCTCACAAGCTTTCCACCTTCCACCACACGTCTACGTAGAATTATCAAAATTTTCTGGCCAGATACAATCTCAAACACTAAACTACTTCAAGCCTTAAACCAAGAAACTATACAGTATGATTACCAAGAGAAGATGGAAATGGCTTAGCCACATTATGAGAATGACTTCTGATATACCTGCCTAAACAGCTCTCACATGGACACCAGAGGGAAAGAGAAAACAGGGGCGCCCAAAAACAACATGGAGACGAACAATGGAAAGTGACCTGAGTGCGGCATCTTTGACATGGAAAACTGCACTGAAGATTGCACAGGACAAGAAAGCATGGAAAGTCCTCTCTGAAGCCTCATGTGCCACTAGGCATAACAAGAACTGATGATGATGATGATTATATCAGCTATAAACAGTAGGCCTACTGTGGAAAATTATAGAGCAAGAAACTGGGCTGCTTTATTAAATGCTCTCAGAGAAACAGGGCATTGAAAAAATGAGGTCCTGACTGTGTATCTCCACCAGATACTAAAGTACAAGATCAGCGAGCCTAAAGAACTGAAGCGAGACAAGAGATCTGTGCAGGAAGGAAAAGAAGAATAGTAAACAAACACAGAACTGGCATCATCAGCCGCTTTTAGATGAGGATTAACTGAGGAGGAGATCTAAGCCCTTATGGATTGAATGCAGTTTTAACTAAGAAAGAGACAACTGGAGTAGATTGTGACAGTAGGAGAGTTGCAGAGAAAATGCAGAGTGAGACGGAGAGAAAAGATGCTGGACAGTCTGACATCATGGCCTGGAGGATCATCTGTGTCAGAGTTGATTGAAAGTACTCGAAACAGAAGGTTGTGGATAGACATGACTACCAACACCACACGGTATAGACTTTAAGAAGAAGAATTAGCTTGGCTAATTAGTTAACTAAATCACTAGCTATCCAACTATCTTGGGGTCTAGGCTCACCTTGATTTTTCCTGCCAGTTTGTCATCAATCACCAGACCTTCTCCTGCTTCATTTAGTACCTCGAATCCTTCAATAGATAAATCAGATAGTCAAAAGGTAATAAGTGGCACCCATAAAGCAAGGAATAGGTCAAGATTAGTTAAATAACTTGAACAATAAATAAAAAGTATACTTCAACAAGCAATATTACCAATGGTCAATTGCCTAAATTACATGACAGTAAATGTGGTTTAGAGTTTAGTGAAATGGTTTCAGAATGCAATCCTTGATGTACCATTGATTTCTGCAATGGATGGTTTATAAAAATTTTAACAAAAATGATTATTCTCATGGTTTCAGTAAGGGGTATGAGGGCCAAACCCATGGGAAAGATTGGGGCATCACCACATAATATTCCAAAAGACAACAGCGGATGCACTGCAACCCATACTGCTCAGTCTTTTCCTTAGAACAGCTAACTGCCTGCCGAGAGTGTCGCACATAGCATGACCACCTTAGCTCAGGCGACGATCCCCAGGGATCTCCATAAAAATTGCACTCATGAACTGAACGGCGCCACCATGAAATGAACCCATGACCTTAGAAGCGCGAAGCAAATGGCTTGACCACTTCATATGGAGATTCATGGCTTGATTTTGGCTTGATTTCAGACTCTATCCTTCTGTTCACAAGTGCAAGTTGGGGTCAACTGCTGGATTTGACTGGAGCTATGAAGTGTCTTGCTTTATGTGATGCTTTCAACGGGCAATAAACCACTCTGCAAGACATAGGGGATAAAACCTGATGCAATCTTCTTCTTCTTCCCGTTTACACTTGGACTACTAGTAGTTTCCCCTGATCTCTGGTAGTAAGATCGGACACCCGTGTGTTTTGCTGCGCACGTAAAAATTCCCTTGCTCTGGAAATCTCTGGCAGTTGGAAATCAAAAAGAGAAGCCTAATGGCACTGCCTGGGCAAAATTTGGAGTTAAATATCTACCTAAAGTATTTCAGGATCCTCGTCGGTGCTTCGGAGTTCGTGCAATGTGCTCAGAGACTTTAGACTCAGGCTTGAGTTAGAAGTAGAACGGAGCAGTTATGGGTTACTACCTTTGTGTCCTGATGTTGATCCGTTGTTTAAACCTTAAACGCTGGTGGAAAATTCAGGCTCTTTGTCCGCTTCTGGACTTTGGTCTTGTTCCAGAACTTGAGATTTGTGTGCACATCTGTTTTACAATCTGGCTTATCTTTATGAAGACTGTTTCTAGCCTATCAGGCAGATGCACTCCAACTTCAAAGGAAACAGCCCTAATTTGTTGTCTTTTAACATGCTTGTTAGGGGACAGGGGGTCTATAGTTTTTCCCTCTTATAATGGGGTCTAAGAACCCATGCAGGGAGTTTCTAGATTTATGTGATGCTCCCAATGGGCAATTAGCCAGTCTGCGGGAAGACATGGGATAAAACCCTGTGCAAGGAAGTTTGTTGTCTGTTTGCTTTTACTGGCTGTAAACCCTGGCAGAAAACCTAGTTGTTCATCCATTTCCAGACTTTGGCTTTTTTCCAGGACCTGAGTTTTGCATGTGCATCTGTTTTACAGATCTTACTTATTTGTATTCAGACTGCTGGTTACGTTCCTTGCAAGGAAGTTAATCCTGTGGCCCTTAAATACAAACTGATCTTCTGTTCTTTTATCCTCTGAGGGAGCACAATCCCTCAAACAGTTCAGGCCAAGTCCACCTAGCCTTTGTTATCACAAGCAGCTCACCCCCATGTCCCCCATATTATTTTAACTTCACTTTTGTTTCCGTCTCCATATAATTTTTGGTCTGCTTTTATTCCTTAGACCCTGTGGGTTCCAGTACAAAGACATTCTAGTTGTATTAAACAAACATTAGATATGATAAAATACTCACGCAGCCCTTCAATAACAGACCCTGCCTCCTTGTCAATGTTATCATTATTATTAATCTCCACATCTTTACCGTCATGGGCATAGAACAATCGAAGGGTGGATGCTCTGTTACTGGGTGTGACGATTATTGTCCGCTCTACAGGCTTGATGTGTTTGGCACCCTGGAATTAACACACAAAAAAAGGACAACCACTTGAAACAAATAGTAAAATTGAATAAAGAAGACACAAACAATAGATTGCACAATTTATTGCCTGGCATATTTTGCTGTATCTCATCTGGTGCATACTACAGTAACAATTACATAAATGATGCAAATAAGTGAATCCTTTATAACTGAAGCACAAAGTCGACGACAGTTAAACACAACTGCTGTTTTACCAGGGCAGCCAATTCTAGATGCAGATCAGCTCATTACCTCATACAGTGGATTCCAAGCCACTCCGGCACACCAGGTAATGACAGAGCTGACAGACTGGCAAAGAAAGGAGCAACACAAGAACAACCACCTACAGTGACAACCCTGCAGACAGCAAAAACACTTATAAAAGCTATAAACAAAGAGACTTGGCTGAACAGATGGGCCATAGGAGATATTGGAAGAGAGGTTTACAGACACATGGCTAGCCCTGATCCTAATGACAGCATTAACCATCTAACAAGAAGGGACCAGGGCACCATCTTCAGACTCAGAACACAACATACTCCACTCAATGGACACCTAAACAGAATACAGCCACAACACTCCCCAGAGTGCCAGCTATGTAACTACCCCTACAAAACTGTTAACCATCATCTCTTTGAGTGCCAAAAACTGAACAAGACAAGAATGCTACTCCCTCTGAGACCAGACAGGTGGAACACCTTGTACGGAGGAAAAGAACAGCTTGTGAAAACATGTAAATTCCACTACATGGCATTGGGCTAAAGGGCAAAAGCTCATGCGCCACTCGATCAATAACAACAACAACAACCAGGGCATCCAAGCTATTTTCTTGGAAGCAAAGGTCCTTAACTGAATTACAAAGCCTTAAATCCTCAATCTCAGATACCACACCCTCACAAAAAGTGATACTATAGACTGTAATCAAAGTTTTCTTTGCTTATTTGGCTTTGGCAGCTGAAATTTGTTTTACAGGATAGAGACATCAAACCAAACTCTAACCTTGGTCATCAGTTATCCCTCCCATGACTAGGATTGAACTGAGTCTACACTGAAGGAAAGTAGTTAGTGTTTCCTCTTGAGCCTAGGGCGGCACATAGGGTAGAGGTCATAGCTCTTAATGTCTGGCAATTTACTGCCACCTGTTTTAGGTCTTGGATGTTCATTAGGCCCATGGTTGAGCCTTCCCTGATGATGGCTCTATACTGGGTCTCTCTTGGTCTTCCCCCATTTTCTTTTCCCTTCCGGTGTCCATGAGGGCATGATGAAGGTAGGCCAGTATTTATTTTATCCATTGCATCTCTACCTAAATGTAACACAAGGAGTGTCTAAATAATGGAATAATATATCAAGTATATACCACCGCTTATTTAAACTTACTGTGCTGTGATTGAAAAAAAAATGTCACAACTAACTTTCAAATGTAACACATAGTCCTAGTCGAGGTTTCAACTTCCCTGCAATCTGGTCACCCCATACTTGCTCCATTTCTGTGCCAGTGAAAATCAAATGTCCCTCACTGTCCCATTTGAAAAACTGCTGAGCAAACAATTAGTCCCGGCACAATCCACAAATATAGGCAAGTAAATGTATATGGCAGTTGCTAGAGGCACCAAAGCCGACAGCTGCCACCAGAACTGCAGTGTGTCGTAGACGGAAGTAGTCAGCATGATAAGTTGGCTATACAAATGTATAATTATTATAAAAGTTATTTCACCAGCCCACACATAAACCAGCCATACTGAATACCAGAACTCAACTGCTGCACAAATGAAAGGAATTCCACATGAAAAACACAGCTCACAGGGCTGCACCAAGCACTAAGAACAGTAGCCCAGGCAGTGAAAACATATGTAATACATTGTCACAACATTAACATATAATCTGTACAAATCAACGTTTACATCTCATATATGTTCACCCGGGAAGGTTAGCCTTGCAATAAATGCCTGAAAAGTCAGATGTGTTGGAAAAGCACTCATATAACAGTCCTGCTGTAAACTAGCACAGCAAAATATGGCCCTCAGATGAAAGCAGAAGAAGAGGAAGAAGAAGAAGAAAAAGCAAAGAAGCTATATTTTCACAAGAAATATTATTGTATAAAAGAAGTTCACAGCAAATTTTCCCATCTCATGCATTAACTGAAGCTCCCTGGAGACAATTTACCAACCTGCACTTCAATGGAGACTGTGATGTTCTTTTCACCATTCATGTTCTTGATCTGGACTGGCTTGCCGGTCAAGGTCCCCGACCCTGCTACAGAACAGTCAGCAAAAAGGCCTGGGAGTCCCACAGTCCCTGCCAGCTGAGGAGAGGAAAAACATGTCGCTGTATCCACACTACCTGAGGGCTGGGGTGAGGGGGTGTGGTGGTGGTGGTGTGTGTGTTTGTGTGTGTGTGTGGGGGGGGGGGGGGGGGTCGGAGAATACATCTACCGCCCCCTAACAAGCAAGCATGTCATAGAAGTTTATTAATTAGGGGTGTTTCAAGGAACCAACAGAGGCAAGGAACCAACAGTCTGCATATGAATAAGTCAAATCTGTGAAATGGATGTGCATGTAAAAATCAATTCCGGATCAAGACTAAGGTGAAGAAGTAAACGATCAACCAGAACTTTCTGCCAGAATTTTCAGCCTGTGAATGTTAAGAAGAAGAAGTATGCACACAACATTTAAGAAAACTATTTGTTATTGGAACAAAGAAGACATAAACAATAGTTGCCTGGCATATTTTGCTATCATAAAGCATTTAAAAGAATACTTCTTACTGGAACACATACAAACTCAACTACTCTCAAAATTAACTGCCTATTTTACCAGGGCAAATGCAGGTTCAAATGCAAATTATGCAATCTATTTTTTCGTCTTCTTTGTTCAAATTTAGAGACATTGCACAGATGATTTGTTATTATTGGATAGAAACAACACTAGCACATTCAGGACACACTTCAATGTTTTCACAAAACTTTATAAAATAATTTTGTTATGCTAATGATTTTCTATTTTCTAAAAGATTTACAACTCGAGTGAGTAGAGGTGGATGGCATTTCACTGACCACATCACATATCAAGTTCTGCTGGGTCTATAACAGTGGTTTCCAACCTTTTTTTTCAGGTGGCGCCCCCTTGAATGTATGGCAAGGATCCCCTCCTCCCAACATAATAAAATGTGATTAAAAAGAGGAGGAGAAAAAGAAAAATCCCACCTACTGTTAATAAGAACTTAGAGGAAAATTATGTACATAATCCGAAGTGTTAAATAACAAAAGAAACACATCATCTACAAATGGTAATATAGTGCGTAAATAGTGTGATGGCTAACACTGTTTTGTCTTGATATCTGCTGTTTTGATAAGATATTGGACATAAATATTCTCAGAATACCATGGGCCAAGATGAGGAAAAACATTGACATACTACACGATTTAAACATCAAGGAGAACTAGCTTATAAACAGTGTCCTGTCTCGAAAGTTAAAGTATTTAGGCCATATCAAACGTCATGGAGGGTGCAGTTTGTGGAAAGTGAGGCAGGGGTCGACCTCCGCAAAGATGGATACAGGACATTAAAGATGCATTGGCACTGAAAGCACATGGGGCTGGAGAGGTGGGTAGGAAAAGGGATACTTTCAGGTGTGAAGAGAGCGACATTCTGTAAAGGACTTGCTGACTGATGTTGATGATTGGACAAGGCACAACGGAGATCCCTCATCACATCAAGGTGGCACCGCTGTTCTGTTTTCATGACTGTTAAAGCTAAAAATCCTGATTATTACCAGTACAGATAAATTGAATTTCGAAACTGCTTGACCCCCCCCCCCCCCCGGGGTAGGCAGAAAAACCAAATTTCTCCTAGATTTATGGTATCTATTATGAAATCAAGGCCGAAGGGTTGCGATATCCATAGTACTGAGCCAAAGGGTTTACAACTGATGGTTTCTAGATATTAAAAATTGTTTGGGGCCAAAAACCACATGTCCGATGTAACCATGACGCGACAAAGGTGCTTAATGTTACTTCATGCCATCCCCGTGTGGGTTCCATGGCCCTATTGTGGGGAAAAACAAGAATAGACCCACTGCCTCAACAACAAGCATGTCGTAAGAGTCGACTAATTGGGGGTTTCCTTCCAAGTAGGAGTGCGTCTGCCTGAGAGGCAAGGAACCAAAAGTCTGCCTACAAATAAGCCAGTAAAATATATGTGCATACAACACTCAGGTTCTATAACAAGTTTAAAATCCAGAGGTGGATGAACAACCAGAACTTTCCGTTGGAGTTTACAGCCGGTAAACATTATGCAAAGTCATCATGTAATAGAAAAGTTAACAGACTTAATGACTGGCAGATCAGTACTACTCACCTTTCCAATGACAATCAGCTTTCCTCCTGAGGTGACATTGCCAGCAGCATCATGGACCTCGACAAAGAAGGAAGGAGCTGTGCCATTCTCGATCGTGATCTCCGATTCTGGTTTCACAACAAGCTCCGAGGGAGGGCCTAGGACAATATAGTTAGTTAGTTAATCGACAGATTATCCTCATTGCACATAGAGCAAATCCATTAGCATTTGGATCCCATCTTCAGTATATCCCCCAGCAACTGGTGACTGATAATACTTGTTATGCGTTAGTTCACTATTCTTCTTTGGCTACCTGTATATTGTTCATGTTTGGCAACACCTCTTTTGACCTGAAGTCCTTTTGAGTGTTGCAGAATCAACGTCGACTCCTAAACATTGTTATTGATATGTTGTTAGATACCTTGATGAGGAGACCAAAATAAGGTGCCAGAAGGCTAACGTAAAGTAAAAAACTGTAAAGGACCTTTTCACATCAGTGGTGCACAAGGCATATGATGCTAGGTTCATATTTTTTATAGAACAAACGGCAATCAGAGTGGGATGTAGCCAGCATCACATGGAGCGCCTTTACTTCCCAGGACTTTACCAAGTTCCAATTTTAGGCTAGGTCAAGGTGTTTTGAAAAATCTGACTTAAAATATCAAACCCCAGACGTTCGGGTCAGTATAGAAGAGGCTAGCCACTACACTACTCCCCCCCCCCCCCCCCCCAAGACTAATGTTGGGGTTTCTCCACTACTTCCACAAGCGTCAATATGGACAATGACTGGCAAATGACAGACAGTATATTCATACCAGCTCTTCAACACCAATGTCAGCTATGGTTGCTAACAAAGCCATAAGAGGGGAAGATCACAACTTGCAAGATATGATGTCTATCATGGATAAGCTATCAGTTAAATTTTTCTTCGTTTTCTGTGTTCACAATTAAAAGGGTGATTAACATACTGTGTAGTGGGTAACAGCTAGGCTGTTAAACCAGCACCTTTTGAACTATCACATCTGTTTTCAGCAAACCCTTAATTTGCTGCCCTTTATGACATGCTTATTTAGGTAAGGGGCACAGTGTCTATTCTCCCCACCCCTAAGAAGACTAGGGTCATGGAATTCTCAGTTATTTTTTAATCTTTTGTAACTGACTAAAGGATGTGATAACACAAGAGAAGTGCCAGGAACAGATGCACTAAATACAGAGAAAGACAGAGAATATGGTGGTTTGATCAATGAGAACCTACAAAACTACCAGTTTGTGAAGACTGAACACAAATCATTGTCTTGACAGACAAGCATACTAAGTAGAAATCCATCTTTATTAAACAAACAAACAGAACACAAATTTTAAAATACTAAACAGAAAACACCACAGACTAATGACTAAAGAAAATTATAATCTTAAGAATCCTACCTGGCAACAGACGAATCTTCAAGGTCTGTGACTGGTCCAGTCCAGGAACAGACACTTTCAGATTGAAGTTCTAAAAGTAGTAAAAGTTAATTTAAAAAATATATAACAATAACACAGCACTCAAATAAAATAACAATAACATAGCACTCAATAAATGAATGTACTTTTTATACATAAAAAAAGCTTCTCCTTCACGTTCACTAGCTGTAAACTCTGGAGGAAAGTCCTGGTTGTTTGCTCACTTCTGGAGTTTGGTTTTATTCCAGGATTCAAGTTTTGCATGTACATCCGTTTTACATACCTGGCTTACTTGTGTGCAGATTGCTGATTCCTCACCTTTCAGGCGGATGCACCCCGACTGTGAAGGAAATGTTGATCCAGGACCCGGGTGTTTCCAGGAAGGCCACGAAGAGGGTAGAGAGGATTTGACCAGAATGGTCCCCAATCCTAGTGCATCAGATGTGGTTGAGCACCCATGCATCCCATAATATAAAATAATCAGACACTGCACCGATCGTCAGTCAGCAATAATGCTTCTCCACATAATATAATCACCAACAGCATGTCACAATTTGTGTGCTGACACCCTTCCATGCCATAAGAAAAGTCTGCCAGGAATCTTCTGTCTTTCAAGAAAGTTTCCAAATGTCACAACATATAACATATACAAAGTATCCCAACTTTAAGTTGTCTAAAAAAAAAAAAAAAATTTGATTCTTATCCAGATTGCCTTAAGTCTACAGTTCACTCACAAGAGACATCTTTGATGAGAGATATTATACATCAACATTTGTTAAACAACTCTCAAATTATGCCAGTTTGAATCATCCTTTAGTCTTACAAGGTATATTATAGAACCTGGAGCTGAAGAAAACATTTGTGAATAAAGTCAACATCAAAAAGTTGAAGTACCTCGGCGAGAGAATAAGACACAGCTCCTTGTTAAAGGGTGAGATTGAGAACAAAACTGAGTGGACATGTGCAGGAGAAAGACAACACTACAAGTGAGTGGATTGCATAAACAGATTGCCTGGAAGAATCCTGTATAAACCACCCATGATTACACAGCACAGATAGTGATGATGACTCTGAATAGTCAACCTTCAATGTGAGATTTGTATCTTCTTCTTTATGTTCACCTGCTGTAAACTCTGGCATAAGGTTCTGGTTGTTCTTTCACTTTGCGCCTTAGTCTTGTTCTAGAACTTGAGTTTTGTATGCACATCTGTTTTACAGATCTGACTTTTTGTTTGCAGATTGTTGCTTCCTAGCCTCTCAGGCAGATGCACCAAAGTTTAGAGCCAATCAACTCTAAGAAGGAGGAGAAGAAGAAGAAGAAGTTCCAGTTAAAGGACATTCCTGTTATACTGCTGACACTGATTTACATCCATAAAATGTCACATGGTGCCAATGTGCTGATACAATAAATGAATCACATGTGACACCATGTACCAGACATCTACTTACCTTGCCCACACTTGTGCTCACAATGCCTTTAGCCACAACCCCCTTGATGTAGCAGCTGTTGCCTTTCACCTGTGTGTTCTCATAGCTCAGCTCCAGGCCGCTACTCACAGAATTCACAGGAGGGAAACAAAAGAACCTCAGATACATTAGGAACTCTTGTCTTCTATCTTGTCATAAGGTAATTAACACAAATAACACAAATACACACAAAATTTAATTAAAATTCCGTCCCAATATAGGACACAATTGTTAAAACTGCACCCCGGCAGGACTTCAGGTTACTCTGCAACCTTCGACAGGGACCTTAATCTAGCCTTACAGTAGAAGAGGGTTTCTGGGACTTGCACCTGGGGAATTCTTATCCGAATGGTGATACTTTGTTTCGTTGGGTGTTAAAGGCTATTTGTGCGGTCTTGGGGAGGTTGAATGTCACACACATTAACAAATCCAAGGAGCAGAGTGGTGTATAAGTAAGTACAGTAAAGCACCATATCTGGTGTTCCAGCAGAATTCTGCTATAAACTTGTAACTAATTCAATTATTAACTGCATCCACCTGAGCGGTGTGGAAACAACAGTCTGCATACAAATAAGCCACATCTGTGAAATGGATGTGCACACAAAACTTATGTTCTGAAACAAGATCAAAGTCCAGAAATGGATTAAAAACTATAACTTTTCACTGGAGTTTACAGCTGGTGAATGCTAAAAATTAGGATAAATTATTTGTATGTTTTTTGTTTTGTTTCTGGATGCAGTTTGTATTTGTGACAAAGAAACGGTAATGTTAAGATGCCCGACTTTTCGAAGCTCATTTTCTTTCAAATAATTCCCAATGATCCTATGCCTTAATATTAAATTTAAAATTAGTCTTTAAGTATTATTATGGTACATGAGAAATAGGTAAATGAGCAGAATATAACAGACAAACCAAACATTTTACACATCAGAAAATAAAGGTGACCTCTAATCTAAAGCAATAGGTGTGATATAATTTAATTTCCTTTTCCTTTCCCTTTTGAGCTATTATTATAGGTCATATAGGGCTTGCAGTCTATTCCTCTATTACATTTTATCCTGTGCAATCACTTGGATGTTATGAATGGAATCCAGTTCAGCACCTTTGGCTTCTCTCATCAACATTCACTTTAGGGTTTCTCCTGGGCATCCTTGTTTCCTGTTTCCCATTGTTTGTTTGGCAATTCCCTGCAAGTCTCTTCCCAGGAAGTGTCCAGTATATCATCATTTTATCTGTCTTATAACTATTTATTGAATGTTTGCCCAGGATGTTTCATCAGTTAGATATTCTATACTACTGATCCCTCATGGTTATAACTGGGATAATAATGTACTGACCATTGTATTTCCAATGTTTATCATGCGTGTACAATCACTTAAAGATGATTCCTTTACTCAGCTGCATACCCAATGATATAAACTGCATTAACAACTACCATAAGGGACAAGGAAACACTCACTCTGCATCCAATATAGGTTTCAGCTTGGCCGGAGGTCTTGATGAATTGTTGTATCTGTCCTGAAACTCCAGTGGGATCTGAAAGGGAACCCCTACTTTAAAAGGTCCATCCAGGATACCCACAGTGAATTTCTCAGCATCTGCCTCTGGACAAGAGAAATAAACAAATTCACATAAGAATGTCTTGTCTTGTCTACTCACTGCACCATAGGAAAGCCTATATAAATAAAATGGCTGAATTCTGGTAGATTTGGGAAACATCTAGAAAACACAAAGTGTAGGTGAGATATATGCAATTACAATTGTACATAAATAAAGGATGCTACTATAGACAGCTTAACCAGCAAATAATGACATGAAATAAAACATATAGACAGCTTAACCAGCAAATAATGACATAAAAATAAACCATAACAGGAAAAAACAGAAGATCATGATGCCACAATGTCTAAAAGCTTCTATCTTGTTCTCCCCTGCTCAATTACCATCCACATTTCCTGTTTTAATGATGATCTCCAGAGTGTGGGAGGAACAGCAGAAGAGGATGATAGTGAGCAGGAGAGACAGACTGGGGATGGGGAAGGGAGGAAGAGAAGTGGAAAGAAAGTGAATCTGAAAGACATTAAAAAGAGAAAAATAAAAGCACGAGGAAACAAGATAATCACATACCGATGACAGAAAACTTGATCCTGTGAGAGGGCAGTTCCTTCCCCCCAAACATGTTGTTCCCAGACTCGTTGAGAACAGCATGAAGTTGTAGGGTGTAGTTGCCCATGTTCTTGGCACTGTCTGCATTGGTGGGAAACACATGAACTATATCAAATATAGCTACAGTATGACATGAAACAGATGAAATCTGACATGAAACCTGACAACGAAGTTACGAAATCTGACACAAAACAGATTAAATCTTACATCATAACCACAAGCATCCAATTATAAATAGTAATTCGAGAAAAGAATGCGTTTCTTGCTTGAATTTACACCATACACACACACACAAAAACCACAACAACAAATGACCTAAAAGTACTGTACTCAGATGGCATGAAATATTTTGGAAAATAAATGAAATAAAATTTCTACAAAGAAGAATGACATTAATTTAGTGCCAGAGGACATTTACATTAGCTATAAATCAGCACACATTGCATCCTTGGTACCATAGCAGTTGGATGGAAAATGTGTAGCTAGATTGCAAAAAATGCTAAGGGAAAAGAAATGAAACAAAACACCAATGAAGAATTAACTTATGATATTGAAAAAGCTGTACTGAGACTACATGGAACAGTTTGAAGGGAAAAAAAGGGAAACAAATTATCAACAAAGATGCACTTACCCATCTTGCGAAACCAGTAAGGCCAAGTTTTTCCGTGTTGAGACAAAAGGGAGACAATTGTTTCATCTCCATGAGGGGCTGCAGAATACACAAACCAGTTTTATCAGTTGTTCATAAACTTCATATCTTTATAGATTTGCTGGGAAACGAGCTGGGAAGAAAAGGGGGGGGGGGGGTGTGTGTGTTAGCTGTGTGCCCTTTACAGAGTATTGTGGAACCAACGCCAGTATTTTTTTGGGCTATTGGTTTTACTAGCTAACTTCCTGTTCAATAGTTTGCCAATGTTTTCTCAGTGGACGGCTCTAAAAACCATTGTCGAAATCAATGCGGGGCGGTCTTTCACCAAATATCCTGCAGTTGGAATTGAATGAGTACCATGGAATTATGAAGCGCGTTCACAATACCTAAGCCACAGATGCATTCAAGGGGAAAATAAATAGATAAATAACTGGATGGCGTGGCTACACAAACTGGGTAGAACAGGAGCACTGGCCTCATCTGTGATTCTGGTAATCATAAGAGACAGTAAACCATGTTGTTGTTTTTGTTATCGATCCAGCTGCGCATGAGCTTTCACCCTTAGGCCCAATGCCATGTAGTGGAATTTGCATGTTTTCACAAGCTGTTCTTTTCCTCCGTACAAGGTGTTCCACTTGTCTGGTCTCGGAGGGAGTAGCGTTCTTCTTGTCTGGACAGTAAACCATAACCGCCTATGTTTACTGGCAGGGTACATGATGATGATGACGACTTTACATATATTAGGCTATTCTTGTAAAGTCAGAGTCTGAAGTTTAGGGGGTTGTGAGTACATTTTCATAATTTTAACATCCCATGCTTGATTCCGCTGAATGTGACCGTTATGCATTGATTTTAACAAAGTTATGAGCATCAAACTATTCAAAAAGCAATGGCAAACTACTGAATGTAAAACTGCACACACAAAAACCACAAACAGCCAACGTTGGTTTCTGATTCCCTTTAAAGCAGCAGCTCCCAATTAGTGGTCTGCGGAACAAATTTTAGAAGTCTGTGATATTACTTTTTTTTAAAACAAACTTCAACTCTTGAGGTCAGGGTTCAAATCCAAGCAGAGGTGAACTTTTTTTTTTTCAAAAGTGATCTTGGCTCACAGGTCAACCCAGCCGTAAATGGGTGCTAAGTGAAGTCCTGGGAGGTGAAGGTGGCCGGCGTGATGTTGACTACATCAAACACAGAGTGGCTATTGGTCTATAAAATACAGGTCTAGCCCTATATGCCTGAAGGCATGGAAAAAGGCCCTTTACTTTACTTACTTACATGACTTTAAAAAGTAGGGGGTCTGTGGTAGGCCTTTGAAAACAAGAGGGGTCAGTGGGTCTTATCTAACTGGGAACCACTGCTGTAAGGGATATGCAACTAGCATTTGTGCACGCCATGTTACTCTTAATAAAAAAAAAGAGTAGGAAGAGACAGAGACAGAGGACACCATGCACATACGTACTCACAGACACACATGAGACATACAAGCACACAAGAATACATACTTAACATGCAAAAGGAAGACAAGAGGGAACATAAATTTATTTACAGAGAGTGAATGCGATATAGAATGTTACAGACTGAGCCGCAAACAAATGATCTCACTACCCCCCAGAGCTCTCTGAACATTATTTTTTTTTTAAAGTCCATAAATATTTGCACAAGAGTAATGACTCTCCTTCGTCTAGTTGAAAGCCTACAGGGACCTGGGATCCCACCTATCCCAACTGAGTTAGTAGTAACAACACTCCAAGATGAAGACCAGTTTACACACAAATGTTTATTGCTGACCCATCGGTCACATCAGGTCTGTATATATCACTGACTCATCTAGGAAGTATTTCTCTCTGTATTTCTGAATCACAGAGAGCTTAATCAGGTGCTTACACATCTTAACCTTGTTTGGACTTGGTCACTGCCAATGACTCCTGCTCATGGTGTCGTAGAAAGTAGAAATCTTGTGAAGGGAAGTGGACAAGTGGATGTGAGAAAGAAGGAACAGTTATTCTGTGGCAGACAGCGGAAGGAAGAGGTCGGTGTGACTGAGCAAGCATTTGAGAGAACCTGGATCGCTGATGGCGAAATCAAGTATTTGATGAATGGAGAAGAATGGCTGAGTGGACGTTAGAAGCTTGTTGTCTGACTTAATTATCAACCAGATTTCCCACAATCATTCACATGGAACTCACAATCTCCCTTTTGACACGCTTTCCCACTTATTCTTTCTTAACTGGCATTCAAACTTTTGAAGCATTATTACAAGGTGACATTACTGTGGAGGAACTTACAATGCCAGATCAGTTTTAGCTCCACCAGTAGTTTTTTAGATCCAGCTGCAGAAAATGGAATCTTGGATATTTTTTCACCACGCTTGTTACAGATTTCAACTTTGATGTCACCTGGAAAAAAAGAAGTTTAAAAAAAAAAACAACTATGGCTTCTGGGTTTAATGGAGTCAATCCTGATATTTATATGTTTGATTTACAGAACCTTAGAGACATCACATCTTCTGCATTTCCCCTTAAGAGTGCAGCGGTTCGTAAGTTGTGTAGTGGTTTACAGGCCATAATATCTGCACCTTTCACCCCATGCATCGGATTTCAGCAAACTGCTAATTAGTCACCTTATACAATATGCTTGATAGGCAGCAGTGGGTCACTGACCCATAATATCACTGACTGTGAATAGTATAATGATATATTTGATTACTAGAATTATGGTAACAACACACCACTAACTAACTTAACTCAAAATGTTCATATCTGATTGTTGGGGGGGGGGGGGGGGGGGTTTTTGGGGGAATGGGGTGTGTTAAGTGATATGTGTAAGTGTGTGTGTGTGTGTGTGTGTGTGAGAGAGAGAGAGAGAGACAGAGACACAGAGACAGAGAAAGACAGAGAGAGAGAGAGAGAGAGAGAGAGAGAGAGAGAGAGAGAGAGAGAGAGAGAGAGAGAGAGAGAGAGAGAGAGAGAGAGAGAGAGAGAAGGGGGGGGTAGGGCAAGCAAACAATTAATGAAAGAGAGAAGAAACAGTCATGTACAGAGACACAGAAACAATAACAGACAAAGAAGAGAAAGGCAGACAGAGGAAGCAATGCAGAATAAACAACGGAGCAGCCATGAGAATGGTGAACAAGACATAGATATACAGACAGTGAGACAAACAGCATGAGACAGAGAGGCAGTCAAACAGAAAAAAAGAACAAATAGTCACATGGCAAACAGGCGATTCCCCAACTTATTTAGTCTGCTGTCCTGGCTTAGTGATCTTTTACAGAAAGACAAACGCTGGGGACCGGGGCATATCTGGCTGTGTTAACTTCTTGCAACAGACTCAGTCATACCGTTGCACTCACCTATAGTTTTTCCTGCATTCCTCTTCTCATTCTGGACAACTTCTTGGCCATTAGGCCAGGTAACAACAAGATGATCTGGTAATCTGATGACAGACAAGTTTCAAATGTCAACAAACTACTGTCAGGACTCATTTAATAAATAACTCAATCCATTAGCATGGGAAAGCTAAAAGAATAGAGCACAAACCTGTTGAAATTCCTTTAAAAAAAAATCCTTTAAAAGAACAACAACAAAAAATTTATACAGGTCAATAACACATTTAAAAATTAATTATTTATCCAGATTGTGCAATGAAATTGCGATTTTCGTGATATTTTATATAAAAAGAGAGTCATTGATAAACACTGACTGAGCGAAGCATTAAATGGAATAAATTACCCAGGGCTTCAAAAAATAATGTAGCGGGTGACTCATGCCATAAATCTGTGACCTCTATCACTGAGGTTATGGAGAAAATCAGACAGCATGGCTTTTAGAAAACCATTTAGTTTCCAAGGACCATCCCCCCCCCCCCCCCCCCCCCACTTTTCCACATGTGATTTTTAAGAAATATAACAATATCCTGACCTCCCAAACGTTGCACTGGTGCAAACACAACCAACAGCATAACCTATGCATCTCGTAAACATATCACTGTAGAAATGCCACTTAAGTGACATTTACGGGGAAATCGGACCCAAGAGGAAATGTCAGTTTTGTGGCTTATCAGGGCAACAGCATTAACATAGTACAAATTAGTAAAGGACCCTTTTCAAAGCATTTAACGCAAAAGGCACATAATGTTAGATTTACATTTTTATAAACCAATCAATGTGGCCAACATTATGCTAGCTGCCCGTTTTTTTTTTCTGATACTCATTTTAAACTGGGTAGACTTGAGAGCCGATGTCTTTTTTTTCTTCTTCAAAATCTTCATAGTGTCGATTCAAACCTCAGACCCTCAGGATGGCAAGAAAGTGTCTAGCAATCTAACTACAGTGGCTTGCCTGGAAGCCAAGGTTAATTACAATCCAGGATCAAAGAGGACAAAGTAAGGCAAATTTTTGTGCTGTCATTAAATGCTTCTAATTCTAAATATGATCAGGTGACACAATACACAACAAAATGGTGATGAGATACAAATATTCAGACTGACCTAACACAAGGTTAAGGGTAACAAATACTTGCATTAAGAGGGAAGATTGGGACAAGACCATACTTCACTGTACACAAGACTTACAACATAAAATCTAGATCAAAGGAGAGATAAAGACCAAGGAAATGTGGATATATGACATCGCTGAATCCTGCACACACACACAAAAACCTCACTCATGCCACAACAGAAGCGCAAGACAACTACAGAAAACCACAACAGAAGCACAAGACAACTACAGAAAACCACAACAGAAGCACAAGACAACTACAGAAAACCACAACAGAAGCACAAGACAACTACAGAAAACCACAACAGAAGCACAAGACAACTACAGAAAACCACAACAGAAGCGCAAGACAACCACAGAAAACCACAACAGAAGTGCAAGACAACTACAGAAAACCACAACAGAAGCACAAGACAACTTCAGAAAACCACAACAGAAGCGCAAGACAACTAGAGAAAACCACAACAGAAGCGCAAGACAACTAGAGAAAACCACAAAAGAAGTGCAAGACAACTAGAGAAAACCACAACAGAAGTGCAAGACAACTAGAGAAAACCACAACAGAAGTGCAAGACAACTACAGAAAACCACAACAGAAGTGCAAGACAACTACAGAAAACCACAACAGAAGTGCAAGACAACTACAGAAAACCACAACAGAAGCACAAGACAACTACAGAAAACCAAAACAGAAGCACAAGACAACTACAGAAAACCACAACAGATGTGCAAGACAACTAGAGAAAACCACAACAGAAGTGCAAGACTACAGAAAACCACAACAGAAGCGCAAGACAACTAGAGAAAACCACAACAGAAGTGCAAGACAACTACAGAAAACCACAACAGAAGTGCAAGACAACTACAGAAAACCACAACAAAAGCACAAGACAACTACAGAAAACCACAACAGAAGCGCAAGACAACTAGAGAAAACCACAACAGAAGTGCAAGACAACTAGAGAAAACCACAACAGAAGTGCAAGACAACTACAGAAAACCACAACAGAAGTGCAAGACAACTACAGAAAACCATGACACTGGGCTATACCCAGTAAAAGTGCAAAGACAAGAAGAAGAAGGAGATCTAACTGACTTACTTTGTTTCCTCTTCATCAATGTACTTCTTAATTTGCAGTGTAGACGCTCCCCGGTCCAGCTTGCTCAGTGGCACAAAACGGCGCTCATTGTACAGAGTCTGTGGCTCCTGACATTTCAAGAAAGCAGCATATTTAGAAATGATCAAGGTTTACATTTTGAAACCCCTGGCTATCCCACTACACACAAAAAAGACAAATGATAAATGCAATCTTCATACCAACCTTGTGCTATCAGTTTCAGACTTGGCTAGTGACTAAACAACATGAATGAAAACAGACCACATGTAAATGAGATGTTTGAGAAAGGCTCTGAACAAAACCAGAAGAAGAGATCATGTGAGAAATGTAGAAATTACAAAAACCATTGGAACAATACTATAATTAAATTCAGTGAAAAACAAAGACTGAAATGGTTTGGCCATCTAATGAGAATGAATCCAATGACACCAGCAATGAGAACATTTAAGATGAAAGTGGAAACACCAAGAGGTAGGATATGACCAAGAAGAAGATGGAGTTACTGATACCTTGAGACTCGACATATCACAACATACCAGGCAACCAAGGCTGCCCTAGTTCAGATACCAACGATTAATTAACCTGCAACGGCACAAAGCAGAATATGGACACAAGAAAGATCAGGGTTTTTTAATTGTTATGCTGCAAATTTGTTGTCCCTTCCATATCTGAAACACGTAATCCTTGAGTGGGTTTCAGGATCCCTTTTTCATGTCCACTAACACTCATGTCACACAATGTGACTAATTAGGGATTTAGGAAATCGGATAAGTTGGTCTGAAAGGCAGAGATATCACTACCTAGCTGTAAACCACAACAGAACATACAAACCACCCTTGTCAGGGAGACTGCAGAAGAATAAGCACATGTAAGAACACCTGAGGAAAAACAGCATTACCTGTAAAATTTCAATATCTCCGCCCATAGCAAAGACATCACCCTCGTGTTCTCCGAACAGATAAAATGCCTGGATAGTTCCATGCAATGGTGGAGAAGTTCTCAAAATTCGCACCTGGAAAAAGACGACATTTTTTTTAGTGCTGATAAAGCTGAAGTTAATAGGATTAGTAAAGTCAATTACCCTTCTCACAAAAGTGGTGCATTGAGCAGTCAATGCTAAATAAAAATTTGCATACATACATCGGCACTATACAGCTGATGTGAACATCACACTGACCACCTTTACTTCCCAGGATTTTACCTGGTACCCATTTTAAGCTAGATCAATTTGAGAGTCAAGGTCATTAAAAAAATCTAAATCGATGTGGATTAAAAACAGGATTAGAATCTTTTATTTCTGCGACTTCCTTACCAATGTCCCTAACGGAGGTTAACTGCAATGAAAATATGCATTCACTAGTGTCTTTGGAAATATTATGCAGTAAAATTTGTTAATCCTTCCTACCCCTTTACAGGTGAGATTTGATCAGTCTGCATGCTTCTTCAGCTCTTGTCATTGAACTGTTGCCTATTTTATATGACAACTATGACTGTCACAGGCCAAAATCTGAGAGATCCTATCTAAATGTCAGCTTCCTGTGTGGATTCTGAGGCCCCAGTATAAAGACAAAAGAAGAAACTCGCTGGCCCCTAACATGCATGTCATAAAAGGTGACTAGTAAGAAGTTCGCTGAAATCTGATTTTGTGTGTGGCTGAAAGGCGCAGATATTTCCGCTAAGTTGTAATTCACAACACAGCATGCCATCCGCCCTTTTAATAATGAACACAGAAAAATAGCTGTTACACAGATTACAACATTAGTATGATTTGGTTTGCAAAAGGTCGCTTCCATATTCCATGGATAATTCTACAAATGCCCAGTCTCCTTCTACACATAAAGAGAATCTAGGTACATAAAGTACAAAAACTCTGTACTATCAATGAGGATCCAGATGTACGTATCACAGAAAACAAATATTAAATATTTTGAAAAGGCTTGTCTAAATTGTCTATAATTTTGCTTACTCAGTGCTGAGTCAGCCTGCTCTTTTTAAAATTTCAGTTACTGAGAGATTTTTAATGTGGGCAAATGTTTGCAGATCCTACAAATTGTTTCCCCAATAGCACAGGATCAGGGGGAAGCATACCACCCTTTTTCATGTTTTTATATGATCTAAATGGTCAAAATCATGACCTTTTTTCAGTTCTTTATTAATATCCTACCCCAGATGACGTCATAAGACAGTCCAACATTTTAGAGGGCTTTCTGATGCTTTTAACGACCCCAAAACATCTAGAACTGGCCCTAACCCACCTACGTCCCAAGAAAGAGTGCAGCCTAGGTCCCACGACTGCATGCAGCCTATCTTCCACCCCCTGAAATATTAGACTGTCCCGTGACCTGTGGATTTCCCCTGTTTGGGGTAGGATATTAATAAAGCACACTTTTTTTTCACTTCATTTCCCCTCGTCTTAGTAGCAACACAACATTAGCAACCACTGACTGTTACATTCATGTACCCAACTCTCACCACACAATCTACTTACCATTTGTCCCACTTCATACACTTTATTGTCCCACTCCACAATTTTAAACTTTGTCCAGGGTGACTGCTTAATTCTGGGCTGGTCTGGCCGGGTCACTTGTCCCACATTTCCTGAAAAGAGAATCTGTTTGTCCAGCTCCTCATTGCACTCTTTCAGCCAGCTCTGGAATTCTTTTTCTATTTGTGTTCTCTTCTCCTGCATATCACAGAAGACATTACATGAGCAACACTGATGCTAGTTATTAATGCAAAAAAACATGGCAAACTAAATCAAGACATTTCAATGACTTCAGGAGCCACAGAGGTTTACCATCATTTCATCTTCCTCTTCTTTTTTTGTTATCACTTCTCTGATTAACACTGAAAGCTGAGTTCTTGTGATAAAACTGACCACTGCTGGGAGTTCCTCTTTAGTTCCATACAACATTCAGTATGGTGTTGCCTCACTCTACTTTAATTCTGCCATTTACTTCATCAAAGTGTTAGGAGTAGAAGGATGGGGAAAGGGGGAGGGAGTGGAGGTCAGCGGACAGGGGTAGAGGTAGGGATATTTTGTGTGCTCTTTCCAATGCACTGTATAAACCGGTCATCAGTTCTTTAAGGCTGTTCTTAGACCAGTATTCCCTTCTTCATGGGTTGTACAAAAAACATCCTTGCAGGATAGTTTCTGCAGCTTGGACATAAGACCACAAGGACACAGTGGTGACCTGTCCTGATGCATAGAATGCTGACCTGTCCACGCAGATCTATAAAACTGATTCAGGCAACAAGGCCTGAAATATGCCGTAAAACATGAACACCTCCACGATCTGGCACAACACATGATGATAATACTTCTGTAGTTTAGAATAAAGAACTATGTTATCAATCAGTTAGTTAATCAAGAAATCGCAGTTTCAACCACTCAAACAAGTCATCCCTTAAATGTTCCATTCTTGTGTCAGCAAAAACTGAATGCCCAATTCTGTACCTTATTATTAATCGGTTGCCTCAATATATGTCAATTTGTAATGCTACTTGTGTGGGTTCTAGGGTCCCATTGTGAGGAAAAACAAAAATAGATCCAACAAGCATGTCGTAGGAGTCGACTTATTGTAACTTTCTTCAAAGTTGGAATGCATCTGCCCGAGCAGCAAGGAACAACCAAATGTACACAAATAAGCCAGTAAAATAGATGTACAAGCAATACTCAGGCCCTAGCACAAAGCCAAGACCATATGGACACACATCCAGGACTTTCTGCCTAGGGCTTGCTTCACCAGCTGGTGAAAACACACACACATGCACGCAGGTGCGCGAGGGCACACACACATACACACACACACACACACAATGTAATCTGGGCATTTTTATCTGAACTGGTTCACTTAAATGTGCCCTGTTCATTGTCTTAGCTCAACACTGGTTATTCTGTTATTGCCCTCTTGATCAATGTAACTTATTACAGTAATATACTAATGTGCACTAGGGCACCTTATTTATGCTCACTGATACTTGTTTTTCCTTGTCAGTTTACTTATTTATGCTCAGCGGCAACTTGTTTATGCTTGTCAGTGACTTATTTATGCTTGCCTGTGAAATTTTAAGTTCATCAATAACTTGTTTATGCTTGCCATAAACTTATTTATACCTTCCATAAGATTATTTATACCTGTCATAAGCATATTTATACCTGCCATAAACTTACTAATGCTTGTCATAAACTTAGCTATGATTGCTTGTAGCTCATCTATGCTTGTCACAAACGTGTGTGTTTGCTTATGCCTTTTTTTGCTCTTCAGTAACTTATTTATACCTGTCATAAACTTAGTATGTTTGCTTGTAGCTCATTTATGCTTGTCAATCTGTGTTTGCTTGTGCCTTTTTCTGCTCTTCAGTTACTTATTTATACCTGTATTTAACTGAATTATGCTTGTAATAAGCTTATTTATGGTGGTTGGTAACTTACTTATGCCTGTCAGTAACTTATTTAAGCTTGCCTCATGTGGTACCACAGACTAATATTGGTGGTGGGGGGGGGGGGGGGGGGGGGGGGGGGGGGGGGGGTGGGGGGGAGGGGAGGGGAGATAATAGGCTTCTCCTAACAAGCATGTTGTAAAAGGTGCCTAATCAGGGGTTTGCTCAAATCAGATGTGTGTGGGACGAAAGGGCAGATACCACAGCCTTGCTGTAAATCACAACATAGTGATCTAATCGTCCTTTTAAGAGTGGCTGCAGAAGACAGCTTTCATAGACAAGTCAATTCATAGACAGCTTTAGTCATAAAAATCAAGTAGTTGTGAACAAGTCTAAACAGACTCGGAGTGAGCTGTTTCTAGCATATGCTCCAATGAGAGATGAAAGGCAAAAAGAAGAAGAACTGTGATAGAAAAAAAAATGTAGCAGCAGCAACAGAAGAATGTAAAAAAAAAAAAAAAAGGAGTCAGAAAAATTGGAAGAGAAAAGGAAATTGAGGAAGTAACAAAGGAAAAAGAGAAAGTATAAGGCATTTCTAGACACACACACACTGACACACAAAGGACAGATCTGGCAAGAAACACTGCATACAAATGGTAAAGGCTTTAAAATATGGTTTACGTACTCACAACAAGCACTGTCCAGTTTTATTAATATATATATATATATATATATATATATATATATATATATATATATATATATATATATATATATATATAAATATATACACACACACACAAACAAACAAGATAAAATGTCATCTCACATGTCCGTTCAACATTCTAACAAAGTTGGTGTTCTTGTCCTTCAACTTCATTTCCAGGTCCAGGAAGGTCAACTTGTTTGTGCTAACCTGGAAGCTATCATTGGTCCACAAGACACCAGAAATTCTACAATAAGAAAAAAAAGTATGTTAAATAAATCTTATATGATGGGTGACAATGAAGTGAACAAATATTAAGTTTATGATCAGTAAGGCATGGTAACTGAGAAAAGGTGACACAGCAGTTCTCAACCAGTTCTCAACAACAACAAATATAATTTAGCTGAGCCAATTTCTAAGTGACAATGTTAGCAGTGTAATTATCCTCTTTGAGGAGTATCTGGCTAAGCTGTTTAGAGTGCTGGGCTGTCATTTTGGTGACTTGGATCCAAATCCTCAGTAAGAGGATGCACACTTTTCTGTCAAATGCACCAAATGTAATCCTAATCTTCACAGTTCATGCTCTTCTCAACTGGTTCACTAAAATGTGCCCTGTTCATTGTCTTAGTTTGATATTGGTTATTCTGTTACTGCCCTCTTATTTAATGTAACTTATTGTAGTAATATATTAATGTGCGCTGGGTAACTTATTGATCCGATGTTTGAACAAACTTATCCAAGCAATACATGTGACTCTTCACTTCTAACAATCCATTTTTTTTACAGACCACTCTGTACTTACTAGGTTATGTGGTCAACATCAAACAGCTGCCTTGCATGTGTATGAAGAGGGAAATTATGAGAGAGAGATCATCATAATAAAACCATAGAAAGATTACCTGTTGTAACACTCTGCTGGGATATTTTTCTGCTTCTTCGGGAAAGAACACCACTCAAATCTGTCAGATATAATCAACAGGCAATTAAAGATAATTGATATCAGACAACCAGTTATAAAGTATTATTTTTTAGACTACCACTATCTGACAACCAGTTATAAAGTATTATTTTTAGACTATCACTATCTGACAACCAGTTATAGAGTATTAGTTTTAGACTATCACTGACAACCAGTTATAGAGTATCAGTTTTAGACTATCACTATCCGACAACCAGTTATAAAGTATTATTTTTAGACTATCACTATCTGACAACCAGTTATAAAGTATTATTTTTAGACTATCACTATCTGACAACCAGCTACAGAGTACTGGTTTTAGACACTCAGCAATTGTAAAAAAAAAAAAACAGTGACATCTTTTCTAAAGATCCTTTAACGTGGGAAATGATCCAGGCATACAGTATGGACCTACAGTCTAACAAAAAAGTCAAAACAACAATTAGATAGAAAGGCTGAAGAATGTGACCTAAAACCATGGATGCTCTTCTTTCATCACTTAGTATCTGTCTAACCTCAGGTTAATATTCTTCCTTGCTACTTGATGGCTTTTGGTAAAGATTGTGTAGACCATCTTTGTATAATTACCCTTGAGTTTGAATCTTTGGCAGTACTCATGCAGTCTTCTAAGGTTTCCATTTAGTCTTTGGGTTTCGCTTTCTACATTTTCATGACTGTGCCATATTGCAAGATCATCAGTGTACAAGGCTTTTTTCGGCCTTGATCTGTTCTGGCAAGTCACTGATAAAGATTGGAAACAGTGCACAGCTCAATGATGAGCCTTGTGGCAAGCCCTCCTCCAAGACTTTAGATGAGATTGCATTGTGTGTCTTAGTCTGGATTGTTCAGCAAGTATTTCACCCAGTTATACAATCTGCCATGTATTCCTATGCTCATCATCTTTATCAGGAGACCTTTTCTCCATACTCTGTCATAGGCCTGCTGGAGGTCGACAAAGATGGCCACTGTATGCTTCTTATTCTGGAAGCCATCATGTATTCTTTGTGTCAATCTGAACTGGTCTTCTGTACAGCTGTTGATTTTGAAGCCTGCCTGTTCATGGCATAGAACACCAGAACTCTCTAGGAACCAATACAAACATTTGTTAATCATTCTTTTGGCAACTTTGCCCAAGCATGATGTTAAGGATATCGGGCAGTAGCTTTTGGGGTCGTCTGGAGGCTTATTGGTTTTAAGTATGGGAACGATATATGAATTCCTCCTTTGGAAGTTTTCTTGATCTCCATGTTTTATTAATAAGCATGAGAACTACTTTTCTTCCAGACCGACCAAGATGTAGCAGCATTTCATTGAGGATCTTATTTAGACCTGGGGATTTTCCAGGTGCTGTATACTACGGTGAAAAGTTCTGGTTGTTCATCCACCTCTGGACGCTGAACTTGTTCAAGAACACAAGGGTTGCGAACACATCTGTTTCACAGGTTTGACTCATGTGCATGCAGACTGTTGGTTCCTTATCTCTCAGGCAGATGTACTCTGACTTAGAAGGAACTCTCAATCAGTAAACTATAACGACATGCTTTTTATGCAGGCAGTGGGCCTATCCTTGTCTCCCCACACAATATAGTCCCGGAAACCATACAGGGAGTTAGCAAAGGTTATTCCTGCATATATTTAGTCTAAAAGTATTAACAGATTCATTTACATAATATCCATAATTTTGTGGTCCTTTAGGCAGGGGTTTCACTTTTGCAGTTGTGTTATCTAAGTCTGAACCTGGTGTCACAAATCCACTATCTTTTAGCTAGAAAGTGCCTATGTCTTGCTAGGGCCCAGAAAAGGAGCAGTTAATTCCATTAAGGCATCACTTTCACACATCCTGGCCATGACATGAAACAGGTTGAAGAAGTTCTCTTTCTCTGCCAACTTTTATTCCAAGAACATTCTCAGAATTATCCACTAATCGTTGTATGAGACATCCATCAACGACCCCAGCAATAAAGAAGAATATACCACTCTTTTTCTTTTTTTTTTCAAATTCTGCACAATCCATGGGACGAACTGAACCAGATTTACTCCACTTTTAATTCCTCCTGTATAAAAGATTTCCTGGTCAATGACAAGTAAGACACTGGACATTCCACAAAATGTATTTGAAAAAAAAAAAACAAGTATTTCCATTGTAATTTTAAATAATGTGGACATAAACAATACATTGCACAATTTATCTCCTGGCAGATTTCGCTACCTCTGGTTGGTACATTACTACAGAATTAAATCAACATATAATGAAGCGTAACAATGAATCCTAAAAATGTATTCGCCAATGAACACCATAGAATACCTACTCTTCAATCAGTGTGTAGGGTATCAGTCTTCCATTCCAGTAAGCTTCAAAGATTGGTCGCCGACCTCTAGCTGGACGTTCATTAATGGCATACCCATGGTCATCCTCTGGTTCAGGATCCACTGGCAAAGAAACAGTAAGAAATGAAAAATATATATACTCAAACACAAAAATAAAAATAACACTAGCCAAATAAAAACTACCATTCAAAGATGAGCACTTGCACGTGTGTTACCAGGTTCCCTCGTGGGTGCAAAGAATGTAACACTGCACACAATAAGGTTTGTCGCAGAGGTGACTAAGGACAGTGTTGGACTTGTGGTTGACTACCTCATCCAGTTTAAAAAATAAAAACAATAGCCACAAAAATGAAGACATGGTGTGAGCTGCAGGCAACGGCAAAGGATAGAACCACCTGGATAAACTGGTGGAGCTCCTTTGGGAAGTAGAGGGCAGACGACAAGAAAGATTAGCAGACATCTCAGTGTAGTGTTGTTTGCTATTTTATGTTAGTATAGTGTTAGTCTGCACAGCAGTAAAAACAACAACAACAAAAAACCCAATAAAATATAAGGTACAAGATAAAGAGGGTACCTAAGAACAAGGTCGAGTAGTTCAAGACATGAATGTTAATGTCCGAGTAATGCATCAAAGATATGAGATAAATCAAAAGACTGTACTTGCAGCAACATTTTTGTAGGTGGAAAAAGTTGAAGCAGGTGATGTGAAGGGTAAGCAGAAGATGAATTAGCAGGAAGAAAAAATAACAAAGAAACATAAGAGCGAGGGAGGATGTATAAGAAAACAGATGTAGAAGACAGAGAAGGAACAACAGCAACAAAAAAAAAACAAAAAAAAACAGAATTTAAAAAAAAAAGAGAGAGAAAGACACAAGAGGGATTAGAATGAGAAAATAAGTAGATGCAAAAAAGAAGAGGAAGAAAAAGAAAAAAAGAAAAGAAACAGATGATGAAAAAGAAAGAGAAGGAGATGAACACAAACAACAAAAGAAAAGCTAACTAAAGAAATGGAAATAGAAAAGAACTACAGATCAAGCGGACATCAATACATACACCGACAGCCATAAATATCAGCAGGGTACGTCTCTTTGTCATATCTGAAGGGATGATATCTGATGATGCCTTCCACAGCAGTGGAACCATCCACGTAGGCCTTGAAGTCAAACGTGCTGGCAGCAGTCCGAGCATACAGGCTCTGCATGTCATCATTGATCTTCCTGAGGTCCACACTCTTCGGATTGGGGTTACCTCGGATGTGCATGGTCACCTGTAGGTGGGACAGTGTGCGGCTGAATGAGTTGTTTATTGAGATGTAATTTTGTAGAAAGGCAGATAGCGATACACATGGGAGAACAATACCAGGAGCTTGATGAACAGTAGTAGTTTTGAAGAAGGGTAGACAGTGATACAAATTGTAGGACAACATCAGGAGATGAATGAACAGCAGTATATTTGTAGAAGGCTAGTGAACAAACTAACAGACTTTATTTTCAATGGGTCACAAATTAGGCACGCAGGCCCGCCTTACATTCGGCCCTTCGAAACACTCATCTTTCACATAGCAGTTGCATTTTATCAATAAAGCATGTTATGTTACAAATGGGAGAACAATATAAGGAGATGGATGAACAGAAGAAGGTTTTGTAAAGGGTAGACAGCGATGCAAATTGCAGGACACCATCAGGAGATAGATGAACAGCAGTATATTTGTAGAATGGTAGACAGCGATACAACGGGAGAACATCTAGAGATGAACAGTAGTAGTTTTATAGGATTGTAGAAGCAATACAAATGGGAGAACAACACCAGCAGAAGAATGAACAGAAGTAGTTTTGTAGAAGGGTAGACAACGACGCAAATGGGAGAACATCAGGAGATGAACAGAAGTAGTTTTGTAGAAGGGTAGACATTTGACAAATGGGAGAACAACAACAGTTGATGAAAAGTAGTAGTTTTGTAGAAGGGTAGACATTGATACAAATGGGAGAACAACAGTAGATGAACAGTAGTAGTTTTGTAGAAGGGTAGACAGCGAAACAAACGGGAGAGCTACATCAGGAGATGAACAGTAGTAGTTTTGTAGAAGGGTAGACATTGATACAAATGGGAGAACAACAACAATAGTAGATGAACAGTAGTAGTTTTGTAGAAGGGTAGACAGTGAAACAAAGGGGAGAACTACATAAGGAGAGGAACAGTAGTAGTTTTGTAGAAGGGTAGACATTGATACAAATGGGAGAACAACAACAGTAGATGAACAGTAGTAGTTTTGCAGAAGGGTAGACAGTGAAACAATTGGAGACTACATCAGGAGATGAACAGTAGTAGTTTTGTACAAGGGTAGACATTGATACAAATGGGAGAACAACAACAGTAGATGAACAGAAGTAGTTTTGCAGAAGGGTAGACAGTGAAATAAATGGAGACCTACATCAGGAGATGAACAGTAGTAGTTTTGCAGAAGGGTAGACAGTGAAACAATTGGAGGCCTACATCAGGAGATGAACAGTAGTAGTTTTGTACAAGGGTAGACATTGATACAAATGGGAGAACAACAACAGTAGATGAACAGTAGTAGTTTTGCAGAAGGGTAGACAGTGAAACAAATGGAGACCTACATCAGGAGATAAACAGTAGTAGTTTTGTAGAAGGGTAGACATTGAAACAAAGGGGAGAACATTATCAAGAGATGAAGGAACAGCAGTCTAAGAGATAGTACCACCAGGATGAGAGTCAAGAGCCTTTTGGAGATCCACTGCAGCTGCAAAGGTAAGCCAATGTGACCTGGTGACTCACTGAAAGCTCATTTATGAACAAAAACATAGGGCGAGCACCATATGTCCAATACAGCTCAAGGTGCGAACAGGGGATTTTACTTCTTAATCTTTATGACATTTCAGAGCTTCTACATCGACACAGAATGACAACAGCCATTGCTGCCCATCAAGCAATGGATCACAAACTGTTCCTCCCCACAACGCTTAATGGCAGAAGTGGAAACAGATGGCTGACTGTATTCATCTCTGCATTTATTGAGTTCATGATTAAACAAAAGCAATGGATTCTTTTCCAGCTACTGGCACAGAAGGCATGCGGTGCTGGACACACATCTTGACAGATCAACTCAACATATGACTGCTGACAGAGCCAACATCATTCTGGCCAAATTCTCTTCCCAACCCACTTTTTCTGGTATCTATTATAGGCATAGCCAACATGGGAGCCCTGGGTTAATTATAATAATCAGCCTATAAAAATGGTGCTGTCTCCACAGTAAAGATTTGCTGCAATGGATCTCTAACACGCTCTGTTTCATGTCCTGGTTGTACACTTGCTCAGACTGCTGTTCGTCAGTCTCTTGATGTTGTCCTTCCCCTCGTAAGATTGTCAACCTCTTGCTCTCAGCCCATATAAGGATTCAAACCCAACATCTTTGGGGCAGGGGGTAGGGGGGCAGTGTCCAGGAACTACTCTATCACAGCTACTCAGAAACAGAGACCTATTTTTTTTTTTTAAATTGTACATACTTACTGAGTTTATACTTGCTTTTTTAAAAAAAACCCAGTAATCTATTAACAGCCTGTGAAAGTCCTGAAAAACAACAATATATTTGACCTGATACCCTTTGAAGTTTGGAATCTATGCAGAAGGCTACTCTGATATGGAGTTTATGTTGGTAGACACACAAAGAAATCTGTCCACTGAACTTGATCTCATTGGCATCTCTCCTTCTTTGTGTTAAATTGTGCGACAGAGACATAGGAATCACAGCCCATGGTGACAGCAAGTGTGACTAGCAAGACACGCTTGCATTAAGAACAACCTTCCACAATCAAAGCATGGGATTTCAGGACCAGTGTTGCCAATGCATATATTCAAAGTGCTTCTTCTCAGATGCTCAAATCTTGACATATCTGCAACCATTTTACCCACTGCCTTCCTGATTGTCTCCTCTATGCAACACAGTCCACAACATCCTGTTCCACGAACTTATCTCAATACCTGTATCCTTCAATTCCTGCTTGACACATCTTTATATCGTAGAAGAGGTCAACCTCAACATATTCTACCCATCAACTTACCTGGATATCGATGTTATTAAAAGCCACATCCTGGCCTGCGTCATCACCCTCTCGTAACTTGTTGCCATCAGGGCCATGCAGGTAAAAGTGATAGATGTGTCTGAAACAGAAGTTAAACATACAATGTCCATCTTCATATGCGTTCTTTGCTCTATCTGGGCATTCTGTTGAGAAGGAAATCCTTAAAACTTCAAGAGATAAACTGTTATATCTAACCTTGTAACATTAGCATTATTAATACAGTGCACATAGCTGTCATTTACTAATGGATGTACCCAATTAGTACTAATGGATGACCCACTTGGAATCTCTCTGCAGGTCCAGAGTTGATGAAGCAGATAACTGGATGTGACTTTACAGCTCCAGTCAAATTTTCAAAATGGATGCAAATTTTTAACATGTGTGATCAGAGATTAATGAAAAGTTCAACACTCTAAATACTTGGGAAGCATTTCACATATGATGGCAGAATAGACAGAGAAATGGAAAAAACGATACAACAATACCACGTATCAAAGGACCCTATTTTGGAAACACCCAGATATCATAAAAAGACATTATAAATGCAATCTTCGTACCAACCTTGAGCTATCAGTGTCAGACTGAGTAAAGAATATGAAAGACAATTAACCCTGTGAAATGAGATGTTTGAGAAAGGCTATGAACAAAACTAGAAGAGATCATGTGAGAAACGAAGAAATTACAAGAACTATTGGAACAACACCTATAACTAAAAAAAAAAAAAGACTGAAATGGTTTGGCCCTTCTCTGAGAATGAATCCAATGATGCCAGAAATAAGAGTGTACAATATAAAAGTAAAATCACCAAGAGGTAGGGGACGATCCAGAAGAATAATGGATTTAAGGAGTCACCGATACCTTGAGACATCACAACATCAAAGCATACTGGGAAACTTAGCGTGCTCTAGCTTGCAAACCCATCATCTGTTAACCTGCGATGCCTAGCGGCACACAGCAGATAATGCCTAACATGTGCTTTTGTCATTGGCAAGAATGCTGGAATATGTGTATACAATAAGATAACTCAATTACCAGTGAGTTTATCAACTTAGTTTGATACTTCCTGATCAGACCTCATATACGTCTTATCTGTTATTTTTACTTTCTAAAGCATCCTGTGAAACTAACATGTACTTCTTAAAACTAACCCTTTCCATTTCTAGATTCTTTAAATTTGCATGCAGGTCACCCCAAGTCCTCCCCATCAGTTTCACCTCATGCTCTAATTCTCTTCTTTCCATGTATATTCTGATCTGCTTTAATTTCTCTGATATTGTGGGTTCTAGCTCAAGAACATTCTTATTTTATTATAATTAGGTTTTCTCAAAGTGTGGCTTATCCAACACCAAGTTTTTACTCTTGATTCAATGAAGTGTGCATTTAATTCTCTCCTAGAGCTCTACATAATGACTTTGTCTCCTTCTTCTTCTTTAAAGTCCATGCCGTGTGGCTTTGGTAGTCATGTCACTTTCAGGCTTGTGTACTTTCAATCAACTCTGACACAGATGAACCTCCATGTCATGACGTCAAACTGTCAAGCATCTTTTCTTTTGGTCTCCTTCTGCCTCCTCCCCTCTGACCTTCCTACTGTCAAGATGAACTCCAGTTTTCCCCTTCTCATCACATGACCAAAGAATGTATATTGTCTCTTTCTGATGCAGGCAATCAGTTCTCTTCATGAGTCAGTTTCTTTCAAGACATCCTCATTACTCTTTTTATCTGTCCAGGGTATTCTTATCCATCTAAAAAAAAACAAATCTCCGCAGACTTTGTCTTACCATTTTAAAAACCCATACTAAAACAACAAAAAGACACTTACGCCAGCTGCCTTGTCCACATGTTGAAATGCTGCTTGAGATAAGCTACGTGTTGTGTGTTGATGCCTTGTATGACTACAGCAGTGAAGCTCTCCCTGTCTGGTTCCTCCGAGATCAGCTTGATCACATGCTCGTCTTCAGGGGAGATATGGGAGTAGTCTCCTGGCTAGCAAGGGACATTTTGATAATCATCACTCAGTGCCAAATAATCTTTTAAATACTTGTGTAGGAATAAAACAACATCATGAATGGAGATAAGGGTTAGATACGACTGCTTCATGGGGGGAGGGGGTCATATTTGGGGTTCATTTCAAAATAACAAAAATATATGTATTGGAAGCAGACTGGCCAGATTTCTTCAGTGTGCTCTGACTATATGTAAAAAGTAAATTAACATAAAGAAATTGTAATTAATGTAAGATGTCCTTTGTTGTCGTTCCATATTTTGTACAATTCTCCCTTTGCTCTGTGCTCTTTACATTTCTTCAGCCTGGCAGTTGGTACCAGGACATTCTACCAGTGGCCAAAACATCTCAGCTATTATTCTTTAATGAACTGTAGGAATGGTCACAGTCCGAGTCTTCTTCTAATGTGCTAATTTTTAATGTTCTCTTTTCTTGTTATGCCAGCAAATTTTCTTTCAACTTTTTAAAGTAAAAATAACAGATAAAACATACATGAGAGCTGATAGTAAGTTTGTGTTCTTAATTCTTTTTCGGAATAAGCTGACAAATTCACTGTAAAGACCTGTCATCTTTGTTAACATCAACATACCTGCAGGCGAACTGGGCATAAAGAGCTAGACCTGTATTTTACAGACCAATCTGCATTCTGTGGGTAATGTGGTAAACATCATGCCAGCCGCTTTTACTCAGTAGGACTTTCATTGGTACCCATCGTTTAAGGCTTGGTCAACCTGGCAGCATAGGTAATTATTTTTTTTTTTTTTTTTTAAAGCCTGGTTCTGTTCTGATTTAAACCCACGACCTTCAGATCTGCAGGCGAGCATCTAGCTGCTACACCAAAGCAGCTCTTAACGTCACTCTTAGAAACCCATTTACAAGCCTTGAGGCTTGTAACACACACACACACATATATATATATAGATACACACACAGACTTACATATACACATTCACTTGATAAGTGATGAGGTCAGTATCATCCTCACCACATTTACTTCTCAAGACATTTCCCTACACTCATTTTGTTCTGGGTCGATCTAGGAGTCTAGGTTAATTAAAAAAGCCCACTTAATATGAACACTGTGAGCTGTGGTAGCGCAGTGGCTAAACCCAAGGTCGAGACCTTGCAATTCCAACTGTACGAAAAAAAATTAAAAGACGACAACGTTCAGGCTGCTGCAAACAGGTTTTGCTATGAGCAACATTCAGTTACATTTGTAGTCTGGTTTATTGGTGCTAGGTGTATTGGTTAATATTTGTGCCCGTGTTCCCATCCAGTCTGGCTGATATTCTTGTCCTGTTCTGCCTGCTCCTCTTATTGAATCTGCCTCCTTTGCTCTGGCTGTGACAGGTGTCCCTGTTTTTTAAATTCTGTTTAGTTAAGAGTCCTTTGTGTTGATTGTCCAAGTCTCCTGTTATGTGGCCCTGAGATAGTTTGGTCCATATAATGATCAATGCTGCTTATAGAGCTCAGGAACAAGGTTTTTTAGAATAATTTTTGTATGGCTACGACATGAAAACAGCTTATCACAAACATCAGAAGCAGGCATCTTTTGGCCACACCGTAAGAAAAAGAAAATTGTGTTGTGACAAAACATTTATGGATGGAGAGGTTGAGAAAGACAATGAGAAAAGATTCCAGACATTCTGGAAAAATATCGCACATAACCTCAAATGCACTCCTGAACATCACAAGCTGTGGATAAACTTTATCTTTCATGCCTGTCAGCAATCTATCTGATGAACCGTATGCCAGATGGCAGGAAAAAGGGTCCTTTATCAACATTACAGTGTACTTTACCTGTCGATTTCTGATGAAGCCAGTGTAGATGGACTGATGGTTCTTTTCCTTCTTCTCAAACTCCTCTTTGGAGATAGTCAGCTCGTGGACATCCTTGGAATGTTTTGGCTTGCTGATCATCTGCCCAATTGGTTGAGAAACACTCATGTTAAAGAATGTTCACACAAGTCGATACAAGTAACTGCTTGACTTAAACACAGATATTTCCAGTATACTTCCTGAGTGAGCCATCATGGCCTAGTGCTTACAAAACTTGTCTGCTAAATGATTAGTATTTCTTCTTTTTTTGGTCCCTCCAGTTACCTCATCGAAGCGTTGGGGAAAATATGTGTGCTTTTTCTAATGTGTTGCATAAGCTATTTTTGATGCTGTCCTTCTATTTCCTGCATGGTCTTTCCCTTGCATGGTGTTCATTACCTTTCTTCGATGTGGCATTCTGTGGCAACTGGTACCAGGGCATTCCATCAGATGGCCAAATCATCTCATCTCTTTAATTAACTGTATGACTAGTTAATATGCTTACCTACCAAAACAGTCACACAGGCTCACTCTCCCAAACTATCAATTTTTTTAAAGAGTACAGCTCTGAGGCCAACCATGCCAAATACAAGTGTATACCGAATAATTTTTAACATTTTCTGAGAACTGCATGGAAAGGTCAAGAAATCAGGAAGAGAACTGGTTATCCCACGTCACACATCATCCGACACCTAACACTTCACCCACTGCTATGGTGGAGTATCTGCTACATGACAAGGCAGATGTGGTCAAAGCAGTTTCGGAACAAGCAAAGGAATCAGTAGAAAAACAAGATTATTATGACCTGGAGAGAATGAGGCACCTGGGTGTAACCAGAGGGTCTGGCCAGCTCACTACACTCAGGGAAAGGGAAGACTGACATATAACTAGATTGTGACCGGTACCATCAGTACAGTATTGTAACTCTGTGCTGACTGCTGAAGATGAGGACGGAGCATACATGGGAATGCCTCGAGTACTGTGATGCCAGTGCTTAACTCAACTCAACTCAAATCTGCTACGTCCAAAATTAAAGCCATGACTTTCAGAGTGCAGTGCAAACAGCTTAACTACAGTGTTGACCAGTAAGACAGGCAACCATGGTAAACTAGCAGCTAGGCGCTTGCCTCCTGGTCCAAAAGTCTTGGGGTCAAATCCTCACTGATGTCAGGTTTCTTTCAAAACTGACTTTGGCTCTCAGGGTGACCCAGCCTTAAATGGTTACCAGGTAATATCCTGAGTAGTTCTTCTTCTTTCGTTCGCATGAAATAAATTGTCTATATCTGCAAAGCCGTCTCTTGTATGAATTTCACTGTCTTTTGTAATTCACTAAGCGGCCCGTAAAGTTTGACTTCCACAAGTGTCTCTTTTGGCCAAAGGTTTTGCCTGAAAGCGTTGAATATGGGACAGTCTTGAAGGATGTGATATGTTGTTTCAGGTGCCAGTCCACAAGTACACATGGCCGATTGGCCAATCTTAAATTTGTTGTACATGTGGGAGCGAAGTCTATTGTGCCCTGTTCTAAGGCGAAGGATAATAACTTGCTCTGGTCTGTCCATAATATGGTAATCATCTTGTGCCAGTTTCGGTGGCATTCTGATTGATTTGATCATTCTCTTCTTCTGTTGATAAGAGACTGGGATGTCAGGTTGTTCTTCAGTTGCACCTTCCTTAGCTAGTTTATCAGCTTTTTCGTTTCCGGGAACTCCACAGTGGGAAGGTATCCACTGCATTACTAATTTACAGCGGTTGCCTAGTTCGGATAATAGTGTCCGTATGCTTGGTAATTTTCCAGACTGGAGTGACTGAAGTACTGCTTTTGCATCTGTCAGGAATACCACTGGTTGTGAAAAATACCCTGTATTTAGTCGTTTCTCTACCGCTATCTTGATGGCTTGAACTTCTGCATCATAGTTGTGACAGTGCTTTCCCGTTGGTAATTTGGCTGTATCCCTGGTATTATTAGGATACTCAATGTACACTCCCGCACCTCCGTTTCTGACTGCGCTTTCTGCTGACCCATCTGTGTAAACACGGACCCAAAGGTTCTGCGGGTATTCATCATCAAGTAAACTGAGGGTGGCTGTTTTGCGCTGCATACTGTTTTGTTCTTCCTTGTCAAATACCCCTTTCACTTCAGTCTTGATGTGTATTGGAAACTTATACTCCTCTCTCCAGGGGGTCCGTTCTGGGACAGCATTTAAGGATCTATCAGTTGCAGGTAAATCAGTGGTTTGTCTGCCGAGCCGTTTGGCCTGGTGGATAAAACTACTTCTCTTTAGTCGTCCCAAAGCTAAATTTTTGAATCTTTCATTCATAGGGTGACTGGGCATACTAAGAAACTTTTCTGCTTGTAAAAGCATCTTGGTGTCTCTGCGTTCACTTAGTGCTTGGGTCATCCCCATTTTCTCCATCACAGCTATAGGTGTTGATTTCATACTGCCTGTGGTAACTCTGAGTGCTTGATTTTGCACTTTGTCTAATTCTTGCAATGTGGTTTTTGATGCCGAACTCCATGCTGTTGATCCGTATTCAAGATGTGGTCGAACACTTTGTTGGTAAACTTTTCTAAGTATTTTCCCGCTAGCACCCCATGTGGTTCTACTTAGTTTTCTCAGAATGGCTACCCTCCTTCTGGCTTTGGTTGCTGCCTTGTTGATGTGTTTTCTCCATGTTAATCTATCATCAAACGTTACGCAGAGGTATGTGGGCTCCTTATCCTCTCTCAGGGGTACTCCATTTATGTGCATGGCGCCTGATTTTTGTTTAGGAGAAAGGGTAAAGAGAGTGATGCTGCATTTGCCTATGTTGATGCTGACACACCATTTGTCGGCCCATTTAGCCATTGCATCTATGGCTCTTTGTAGCAGTCTGGTGGCCACTGTCGCATTTTCATTTGTACACCAGAGTACCAAGTCATCAGCATACATTGCAGCTTTAATTCCATGGGGTAGTTCAGAAAGCAGGTCGTTGATATAGACTAGGAAGAGTGTGGGGGACAGGACACCTCCTTGTGGGATGCCATGGCGCAGCAAAACTTTCTTGCTTTTAAGTCCATCTATCTGTACTCGGGATCTTCTGTTATACAAGTATGCTTTGACCCGTTTGTACATACTCCCATTCACCCTGCAGTCTCTCAGTTTCTTCAGTAGACCTTCTTTCCAGACCTTGTCAAAGGCTTTCTTCAGATCTATCCATGCCGTTAGCACTAGCTTCTTTTCCTGGAAGGCATCCTCAATTTCTTGTGAAAGGTAAGTTATCTGGTCTTCTGTGGAGTAGCACTGTCTAAATCCTGCCTGCTGCGGCGTGAAAATGTTTTCACTTTCCAAGTACCATTGGAGTCTAAGGTTGACAATACGTTCCATTGTTTTACAGAGGCAGCTGGTAAGACTGATCGGTCTATAGCTGGAGGCATCAGAACTGTCCTTTCCTGGTTTAAGCAGAGGTATTGTGATTGCTTCTCTCCATATTTGAGGAACTTTGCCACTGGTCCAACAATGATTAAAGATCTGTAGCAGCTTTATTTTGGCAGTTGTTCCAAGGTTCTTGATCATTTCGTTGGTGATTCCATCAGTTCCAGGTGATTTTCCCATTCTCAGCTTTGATATTGCTAATTCTAACTCACTGGATGTAAATGCTGCCACCAGTGCCTCAGGAATTATATCTTTTTGTCTTGTATGTTGTTTGTTTTCTTGAACCTCTCGCTGTTTCTCTGGGCTGACATTAATGTTGCAGACTTCTGCAAAGGAATCTGCAAAGTGGTCAGCTGCCTGTTTTCTTGTTAGGATGGCTCCCTCTTTGCACAGTGCAATATAACCATTTCTCCCTGTATTCTCATCATTAATTTGCTTAATTAACCTCCACAACTTCCTTGTGTCTCTTTCAAAGTTTAGGGACTTTGTCTTTTCCTGCCAGCTTCTCCGTCTAGCCTGCAGTTTGGCTCTTTGAAATTTGGCCTTTGAATGTTGGTAGTTGTTAAACTGCTCTTGACAAGGTCTGGTATCAGCCTGTTTTCTTTCTGTTTCCATATTGTTGTGCAGTTGCTCCAGATCACAATTCCAGTACGGTTTGTATTGTTTACGCGCACCTCTTGGAACTGCTTCTAGGGCTGCCTGCAGTATGTGTTTGCTCAACTCTTGGACTACTTTTTCTACGTCGTTATCTGTGTTAAGATTTTCCAGCAGAACATTTGTGCGAAGCTGATATAACTTCCAGTCTGCCTTCTTAAAATTCCACCTTGGCAGTGTGCTGCTCTCTCTTACAGACTGGCTTTCGATAGTTAGAAAGACTGGCCGGTGGTCACTGCCTCCTAGTTGCTTCCCAACAGTTCTGGTAACATTCAGTTCCATGTCTGCTGAGTGAAAGGCTAGGTCTGGTGTCGAGGTGGTATGCCATGCTCTAGAGTAGAAGGTTGGTGGGTCGGTTGGCTTATTTACGAGGATGAACCTATTCTCATCCTGCCAGTCCTCTAGTTTCTCTCCTCTCTGGTCCATATGATCGTAGCCCCAACTTTGGGAATGGCTATTAAAATCCCCACAAATGATCATTTTTTCATTTATTAGTACAGTATCCAGTTCCTGAGTAGTAAAGGTGACCAGGGTGAAGCTGACCACCTGACACACCAACTGCTGATTAGTCTATAAAAATATGAGTCAAGTATTATAGGCCTAATGTGGCATAAAAATGGTCCTTTAATAAGACAGAACACATACAAAACAGATCACATACATAACAGAACACACACGTAACAGAAAACATACAAAACAGAACACATACAAAACAGATCACATGCATAACAGAACACACACGTAACAGAACACATACAAAACAGAACACATACAAAACAGAACATATACAAAACAGATCACATACATAACACAACACATACATAACACAACATATACATACTCTTGTAGCATTGCCAATAAAGAAGACAGCTTGCTTTCCACCCACACCAAAATATGAGATGTCACTGTTCATGAATCTGGGTGCCCAGGTATCAGCAAGATTTAACGACTCATCTGGGTTCCTCAAAGATGACTCTGTCTCTCCCCTGAAATGGAAGAAATGGGAAAACAGAAAGTTACACTTGTAACTAGAGCTCTAGCTCCAGCTGTAGACTTCAGCCCCTTTTACTGCTTCCTATTCTGCTCTTAAGCCGCAACAGGACCGATCCATTACCATATCAGGACCCCCAAACAGGAGAAGTCGTACAAGTAAACAAAAGGACAAGAACCTCAAGGAAAAAAATGACAGAACAAAATAAACCATGGAGAATATCACAGCACAGGATTTAAAGAGAATGACCCAATCATAAATACAGTCATACCCAAGACAGTGGACAAGCAAAATGGAGCCTACACCAGGACCAACAGAGGACCCAGACATGTTCAGAAAATAAAAAGGTAGGGACAAGAAGCCACAACCACTGGCACACCAAACCAGTTAAACCACTGAACTTGGCACAAGTAAAAACAGACCATATTTATCATCGATGCTGTCTTCAGCAGGGTTGAACATAGTTACAGATGTTCCCCCACCTACCAACAACTTCTCTTGATCCTCTTATGGAGCACATACCCTCAACCAACATAAACTAAGCCTACAAGAAAAACAGGATAATAAAAGTGTAACCTATTAGGAATGTCACAACAGGCAACTAGGGAGGGTTGGTAGAATATTGGTAACCTCGTTCTGTCAAAAACTTCAGCTGGAAATCCACCTAACTGATAATGTATTTTATTTCTTCAATTTTTTCCTGCCACTGTTTTTCAAAGAAAAGGCCATACGAAGGCTATGGCATGTCCTCCATTGATTTGTATAGCTTGGTTTCCACTGGAATGCCAACTGGCCTGACAAGATCTCTATCTACTGCATGTAGAGAGCATGTTCACTATTCTGGGGTGCTTGTTCACAAAAGCAAAGTCAGTCAAATAAAGTTTCACTACCTACTTTGGTGTGTATTATAAACAAATACTAAAATATTTGTCATTAATGTCCATTTTACCCTAAACTTTGAAGGTAAAAACAAATAAATGTACATACACAAATGTACAATATAGATGGGATTTTACAGTACTAAATAAGAGACTGCAAAAAAACTAACGACCCATTTTCAAACATCAGTTTCATAACAAAGTTCATAAATTGTTGGCTTATCTTGTAGCTATGAAAGTTTGATACAGAAAACAATTCTGTACAGTCTGCAGCTCCAACCAGAGAAAAGAAAATATAGTCATAGTAACAATTTTGTAGATGGTTACCAAAAACTTCCCAACATCAGACATTAGTAAATAATTTTTAAAAAGTTACTAAAGCTTAGAAAATTTCAAACATGCCAAATACACAAAGTAGCTTTATTAGATAAAAGCAGAAGCATTTTTATTAGAAGAAACATGCTGAAAGGTTGTAGAGAGAAGAAGAAGTTGTAGAGTTAGGAGAAGAATCTTTTATTCTTACCCTCCTCTTTGTCTCTGTCTGAAATTAAAATCAAACTGTCAGTTCTAAAAGTACAGGCAGCAAGTTTGAAAAAGAACAATGTAAAAGTACTGCTACTTCTTGTCTTATCCAGTGCAGCGCTGATGCACAGTCAGCTCACGGTAAGCAATCTTATCTTTTACAGCTATATCTTCTTCCTCCCATTGCAAATTTCATTGGAAGGTTCTGGCTGTTTATCCACTTATGAACTTTAGTCTTGTTCCTGCTCTAGAGTTTTGCGCGCACAGCGACATCTCATTTTTTTTAGTGCATTATTAATATGATTCCAATTTGCTTCTCTATGCCAATTTATGTCTCCCTGTATTTGTTTTGCAGTTTCTCCTACGAAATACGCCTGGCCGAATCAAACAGGAAACACTAAGAAAGAAGAGGAAAGTAACAACAGGGTGGAGGACGAGCGGTCTGAATCGGATGGAAGCATCAAGCCCAGAAATGGCGCAAATACTCGAATTTAGTCAAGAAAGTGACGCAAATAACCCAGACCACAAATAAAGGCGGAGACTGTTAGCAGCCTCGGCTAGCTAGCAGCGGTCTGAAAGTGGTTGACCTTTTAATTTTTTTTCTCAAATGGACTAGGACGAGGACTGTTTTGCAGTTTGGACACCAAAGAAAAGACCACCTAGTTATCTTATTAACAGATTTTCTCAATGCATGTCCCATCCTGCACCAGCAACTTTCCTCACCTATTAACCTACAGGAAATTTTTTACTTTTTCACAGTTGGCTGCATTTTGTAGATACATTTTTAAACAGGATGAGTCAGCCAGTGCCCTGCCAAATTTTCCAAGTCGCCTCTTATGACATTTGGTAGGTTGCAGAATTACTGCTCTTTGCTTCCCCTGAGTGCCCCATAAATGGGAGGAGTAAATTACTCATTGGAATAACATGTGCCTGCCTTTGGTGATCTCCCTTTAGTGAAAGAAATCTAGTACAGACAACTGTATAAATGAAACATCACCTGAGTAATACAGTTCCTAGAATGAATGAAGTATTGTTAACAGTTGTATTTAGGTAATAATTTCAGAGTGAATGGTATACTGTTGAGTTATTTCATGTAACTCTTGGAACATATGAAATGTTGTTAGCAGTTTCATTACTGGAGAATAAATTAACATGATGAGCACCTAAGAAGTAAATCTACTAAAGTACTTAGGAATGGCAGTTGCAGAAAAGCATTTTTCTTGATGTCAGCAAGGCACCTGTAGAGAATTTATCAAAAGCCACAAGTTTATAGATAATAACAGCATGTAATCAGTCTGACAAAATACATGGAATAACAAAAAAAAACCGAGGTGTCCTACTTTCTTCCACGCTTTTCCCGCCTTGTGAACTTGGACAATCTATATATAGCCCAGCTGTTCAGTTGACGAGGAGTCATGCCAGTTCCATTGTCAAGGACAACAACACAATTTTTGCAGACTGCTGAATCATCGACATACTGCAGAAAATAAACAAAATGGGCTGCTAAAAAAATATATATACCAAAAAGAATAGTCATGCACAAAAAAAGCAAAGAATTAGTGTCAATTCATCATTAATATTTTTAAAAACCTGATGTTATGTATTAACTTAAAAAAAATCTAAATCAAAATATGTGAATAACTTTTATCTGATATAAGGTATAAGGTTTAAACAGTGGATCAACATCATGGCACAAGGGTAGTAACTAATAAGTGCTCCGTTCTACTTCTAACTCAAGTCTAAGCCCGAAGAATCTAAGCGAAGTGAACAAACTCTGTAGCACCGGTGAGGACCCTGAAATACTTTAGGTAGATTTTTAACTCAAAATTTTGCCTGCTGAGCACCGTTGAGATTCTCTTTTCGATTTCCAACTGCCAAGCGATTTTGTATGTGCGCATTAGTACCATGCCTTGAGACTACAAAGCCCCCCCCCCCCCCCCCCCCCCCCCCGATTTTCTTTGATATTTTCAAAACCAGTCTTATTATCTGAGACACATCTTGCATCGGAGCACCTTCTGCATGAGGCCTTAGGAGGAGAAAGAAGGACATCCAGGTGGCAGAAGTCACTAGAAGAAATGTTTGCACTACTGACAAAATAGTAGAATGGATCACAGTATGCCCAGCAAAACAGCTTTGCATACAATGATAGTAACTCTGAAATGAGGATGCCAGGAATGGATAGCTGATCAAGAGCTGCACACTCAGGTGTAATCATATACAGATGGGTCTGTAGTGACAGGTTTCATTGGTAAAGTGAAGGGACACTGTTGGAAAACAGAGCATCACATACAATATCACTACATCCAGTATGAGAATGGAGATAGAGTCAGTAAAGGCCGCTTTCTGGTGGCTTGAGAGCAACAGTCTGACATGTTGTTGTAACAGACTCAAACAATATGCTTCAGATAACTAAAACTGGTGTCCTGCGCGCAGAGTGGCTTGCACGACTTGATAAACCTCAGATCAAAACCATATCATGGATTTTCTGTCCATCCAGGATATTCTGGTGTGCGAGGTAACAAGCAGGCTGACAAATTAAGTGCTGCCACATCTCTGGGCAGTGAGCTACTTTATGATAAAGCGTTGTGAATGCTCTCTGGGATTAAATGGACAGTGCAATAGAACAGACAGAGAAGCCATACACTAGAAAGACTAATTCAACAAGGGTGAACAGAGGTTCTGGAAGATTTTCAAAACTGAAGAGGAAACAGGTTGACATTTTATCAAGCTGCAACTGATATTATTAGTATGGCAACTCTTTGCTGGCTACTAAAGATGGGGAAGGAGCACATGTGGAACTGTCCTGAGTGCATGATGTCAACTGATGATTCATTCATTTCATCTGATGACATCCATGTGCCTAGTAATACTTGTTTTCCTGTACTTCATCATCCTGTTGCATTGCATTTACATATCCTATGGCTCGCAACTGATTCTTCCATTCCACTGTGTTATGTGCAGTCCTTTCAATACAGTGATAGGAATCCAACCTCTGACCTTTCATGTCAATTTTCATTGTAGAACATTTCTTTGACTTCTTGCTTTTCCCATTCATTTCCAGTTGCTTCACTGGGCTCTCCCACCCCATCCCTCCCCCAAATTAACACCAAGTTTCTGAGAAGTTTAAACAAAAAACACAAACATTAATGCAAGAATACATGCAACTTATTACCTACCAGTCTTAGTTCAATTTTACGGGAGCCATCGTTAAAAGCCGTAGCAGCCAGGGAATTATCAATCAGCTCTGCAAAAGCATAGGCTGTCAAGAACAAAGAAGTATAAGAGCTTTATTTTTGAAACAATTGAACATATTTTGGGATTAGTATTATAAATATATCATATAGAATAATATTAAATAGAATAATTTTTATATTATATATATTGTGTAATATATATATTAATATAATACACATTACTAGCAAACTTGCCTGCCAGTCCAGAGGTCACAGGTTCAACACATTGAGTTATTAGCTGGAATAAGACCATGTGTGGATTATACTGACAAAGAATGAAATGGTTCAGCCATCTGGTAAGAATGCAGTCAGACCAAACTGCATAAGAGACCCTTCACAGCAGAACATGTGGGAAGAAGGCGAAGGGAAGATCAAGAAAGTTGTGGATAAAAGCTGTAGTGAAACCTGCACAAAGACTAACAAATCCATCGCCTAAGCTACCTGAGAAGCACAAGACAAATACAGAAAACCTCGACACTGGGCTACCACTAGTTTTCAGTGAGACGACCCAAAAAAAAAAAACAAGTAAAACAAACAAAATGGCAAAATAATGAAACTCACTTTCTCCTCGGCTTTCAGCTTTATGACCATCAGCACTTAAGACGACAAAAAATAAATAAATATAAATAATAAAAGTTTCCAGAACTGATGCCTAAAGCACTGCAGGTTCAAGACACCAGAGATTTCTTGTGCCGACTGCGTATGACACTGGAACCACAGTTTGAATGAAAATGAACTGTCTTATGAACTGCTAGTCGGAACGATCTGAGTCACAAGTCCTGGAGACCTTCTACCATCAATTACACTAGATAATAGAAAAACCTACGCACATGTAGGAGAGAATTACAGACAAATATGAACACATTACTGGGGGGGGGGAGGGGGGGCAAACGCACAGCTCTGGCATGAGCTGACTGAATGCCTACGCTGCAAGGGCAGAAAAAAACCTAAAGAAATACTAGAAACACAGAACACACTGCATACTTACGTAGTGGATTCTGCCCCTCAGATGCATAGTACTCGTACATGCCACCCTTAACAATGGTATCATAATGAGGCAAGTAATCCACTCGTTCCTGAGCAGGGGCACACAACTCTTGTTTAATGTCATTAAGGATGTATAAAGTGTCTCCATTCTCGATAAATCCTGAAATAATAGATAGCCAACTTCTTATAAACACATCATCTTGAAATAGAAATTGAAAGTTCAACAAGTAAACTACAAATATTTATTAAACTGGAGTTTATGTAGAATGGAGGAAATTAAATGGTATGACACTTGTTATTTTCTAATAAAGTTATCATGGCATGGAGACTTCTATGTGTCCCTTAGAACATTTTTTTATTTTAAAATAAGAAAGTTGTAACAGCTTAATCACTTTACCATAGAGACCCCCATACCCATATTCTGTTAGTCACTTGTTTCTCTCTTTCTCAGCCAGTGTATGCATGGAAAATATTTATGTATGGGTGACAGTGTTTGATTAGGTGCATGTCCGTGAATGGGTGTCAGTGTATGTATGGGTGTTAGAGTGTGTATGGGTGTTAGTGTATGTATGGGTGTTGAGTATGTATGGGTGTTAGTGTATGTATGAGTGTTAGAGTATGTATGGGTGTTAGTTTATGTATGGGTGTTATTGTCTGGTAGTCTGGTAGTCTTAGTTTCAGCTTCATAGCAACGGGTCGCCCTATCTTTGCTCCGCTCCTGTGCCAACGAAAAACACCCAGAATGTTTATCACAGTCCCTTGTGGAAAGATTGACAGGCTGCTGTCTCAGCATATCTAGCATACACTCGCATTAAGGCACACGGTAGCCATCCGAAGTGCTAACACAAACAGTGTCCAACATTAGAAATGCAGTTCATCATTGATGATAGCAGAACTTGTCGCCAACAGTTCAGCAGTTGTCCACGTGATCAATTTTAACCAGATACAGGCACCACCAACATTGCACGCCATTTTCTGAATCTACAATTCGCACCACCACGTTGGTCAGTCGAAAATACATTCCAAATGCAATCTGCAGCTCACAGGGTCACGCCATGCATTCAACTCAGAAACTATATCCAGTCTACAAATGGAGCAAAAATACTTCGGCCCCGTCCGGCAGAAGCAAAAAATTTGCCTCTGCTTCGAACAGCGCCGCTGTCTAGCGTCCATTTTAACCGGAAGTATATAGTATATGTTCGGGTGTTATTGTATGTATGGGTGACAGTGTCAGATTAGGTGCATGTCCATGTATGGGTGACTGTGTATGTATGGCTGACTGTGTATGCATGGACCATCATGTATGCATGGGTAATTGTGTATGCATGGGTGACTGTGTATGTATGGGTGACAGTGTTTGATTAGGTGCATGTCCATGAATGGGTGTTAGTGTATGTATGCCTGTTTTATGGGTGACTGTGTATGAATAGGCTGTTATGCATGTAAGGGTGTTTGTGTATGTTTGGGGTTGTACGGGTATAGGAGGGTGTCTGCGGCTAAATGGTTGTTCAAACCCACATTACTGACATGCAATTTTGGTTTGAAAGATGAGTGCTTGGAAGGGCCGAATTTAAGATGGTCCTGTGTGCCTAATGTGTAACTCTCTGAAAATAAAGATTGTTTGTTCATTCGTTCTCTCTCTCTCTCTCTCTCTCTCTCTCTCTCTCTCTCTCTATATATATATATATATATATATATATATATATATATATATATATATATATATATATATATATATATATATATATATATATATATATAGAATAACCTCTAAAAGTTGCCTGTAGCAAACCGGTCAACTTATGGAGGAAATACAAAACTTACCCCAGCTTTCTTCACCGTTGATCTCCTCTCTGCTGGTTGTTGCAATGATGAAGTCATTAGTGGTCTCACCAAGAACCTACGAACACAAGGCAGCAATCAATAATAAGTGATGATAAGAAATGAATGCATGCATTAAGAATGACATCATCAAAGAATGGCAAACACAAGGCAGCAGTCAATAATTAATGATGACAGTTGATTCTTGCATTGAGAATTGACATCATCAAGGACTTAAAAACACGTGACAGAAGTCACTGATTAATGAAGACAATAAATGAATTCACGCATTTGGAACTGACATAATCAAGGACCTGCGACCATTAGTCAATAATTAGTGATGAGAATGAATGCATGCATTAAGAATGGACATCAACAAGGACCTGTGGCATTAGTCAATAATTAGTGATGAGAATGAATGAATGCATGCATTAAGAATGGACTTCAACAAGGAACTGCGAAAACAAGGCAACAGCCAATAATTAGTGAAGAAAATCAACAAATTCATCCCTTAAGAACTGACATCATCAAGGTCACGCAAACACAAGACAGTGGTCAATAATTCATTATCAACATGCAGCAGAACCTTCGCAGAACATCACTCATATCACGGTTTGCCTGAAAGAAACTTGGTCTCTCACCAGCTCTCCCACCTTGTACACTTTCATATCCAAGGAGTCACTTATATCCTGTGCCCATCTCCATGTTGGTCAACCCCTGCCCCTGCTTCTTAGTACCATGCCTTCTGCTATTATTTTTCAAATCTGATGTCTAACCGATATCGCCAAAATATTTCAGCTTCGGAGACAATATGATATTTATTAGCCAAACTTCCTTGATGAACATGGAATATAAGAGGCTTTAACGGAAAGGAAAACGAGTTAGTAGGGGAGATGAGGAAAGCAAAATTAGGAGTCTTGGCTCTGACTGAAACCAAGAAAAAGGAGCAAGGAATCACAGATCACGATGGAAATATGCTGCTCTACAGTGGTGTCCCTATGACGGAGAGAGGGAGGTGTTGGCTGTATTGTGGTCAGGAATCAAGTTAGTAACATCAAGGGATGGAAATTCATCTCAGAGCGAATAATGGTGTTAGATCTGAAAGAAGAAGATAAAATTGTCAATTTTGTCATTGTGTACGGGCCAAATGAAGATGAGCGAGTAGATGTTAAAGAAGAATTCTTTGAACTGCTCCAAAGGACCATAGATGACTGTCACGATGAAATTATCCTCCTAGGAGATCTAAATGCCAGAGTAGGAAATGATCACTCTAGATGGGGTGGAGTGATCGGGAGATATGGTGAAGATGTTTTTAATGATAATGGCAAGCGACTTCTCAGATTCTGCAGGGAACAGAACCTTGTCATTACAAACACAAAATTCCCCCACAAGCATATACATGCATACACAAGATGTGAACCTTCAAAAAATGAAAAATCCATCATAGACTACGCTATAGTTAGGAAAAGTTCATTCAAGTTTGTGAGAGATGCCAGAGTCATGAGAGGACTAGAGATTGGAAATGACCACTATCTGGTCACAATAAAGAGAACAACTGAAAGAACTGCTCCAACAAGGCAACACCGACAACCGTGCAAGAAACCAAGCAACCAAGAAGGGATGAGGATTAAAGCATACAAGCTAAGAGAGCCAGATATTAAGGCTAAATACCAGGAGCTAATAGTGAAAGCAATAGGAACTGAAGAAGAATCATCAGAGGACACTGAAACCCTCTGGTGCAGATTCAAGAATATCCTCACAGCAGCTGCAGTAGAAGCATGTGGTGAAGTCCCGAGTGGAAGGCGGGGACATAGGACACCTTGGTGGACGGAAGAAGTCAAATTGAAAATAGGAGAAAAGAAAAGGGCATGGAAGCAATACCTGGCAGCCAGGAACACAGGTGAAGAAATAGAGAAATATAAACAATATGTGGCACCTAGAACAGAGACCAAAAATATTGTGCTTAAAGCAAAACAGAAATCATAGGAAGAGTTTGGAGAAAAGTTGGAAAAGAATGCAAGAGAAAACCAAAAACTGTTCTACAAGACCCTTAAGAACATGAGGAAGGAGAAAGAGTGCCTACTTAAATTCATAAAAGACAAGGAAGGGGCTCTGCTTACTACTACAAATGATATCATGGGCAAATGGAAAGAATACTTCTCAGAGCTCCTTTGCGTTGAGGGAAGTCATGACCCAGAGATAATGGACCTCACTGCTGAGAAGGAATTCAATCATGGGGAAGATAACATCAGGAAGGAAGAATTGAAGGCAGCTATTGAGAAGATTAAGCTGGGAAAAGCAGCAGGTCATGATGGTATAACACCAGAGATGGTCAAATATATGGGAGTCGAAGGTGAGCGCCTTATACTGAAGGTTCTCCAGGCAGCCTGGTGTAGCAAAACTATACCAAAAGATTGGGAGATTGCCATCATTATACCTATATTTAAAAAAGGTGATAACAGACAATGTGAAAACCACAGAGGCATATCCCTTCTCAGCGTTTCCGGTAAAAGTTACTCTAGAATTCTTGAGCAGAGACTCAGAAGTCTGGTAGAGCCACAGCTGGACGAGGCCCAATGCGGCTTCAGAGCAAACCAAAGTACTCAAGACCTTATCTTCACACTGAGACAGATGAGTGAAAAAGCCCTGGAATATAAGAGTGAGATGAACTTATGTTTTTTTTGATCTGGAAAAGGCATTTGACAAGGTACCCTGGAACAAGCTCTGGGACTGCTTGGCAGGGAAAAACATCCCAGCACCCCTGATCAGTGCAATAGAGTTTCTACAAAAGGTGCAGAAATTATGTAAGAACAGCAGACCAAAAGTCAGAAGAATTCAAGACCGCCAGCGGTGTTAGACAAGGTGATATTCTCTCACCTTACCTCTTCATTCTTATGATGGATGATGTCATCAAGACCTGTAAGGAGAAGACAAAGAAGTACTCTGTAGGGTACTGGAAGATGAGACCAATCTGTATATCAGAGCTGGCTTTTGCAGACGATGTGGCCCTGATAGCTAAATCAGAGGCACACCTACAGTCTGGAAGGAAGAGCTTGAAAAGAAAGGGATGACCATCAGTATCTCCAAAACTAAAACCATGGTGATCTCAAGAGAGGAGAAGAAACACCAGATCATGATGGGACAGTATGCATTGGAGCAAGTTAACCAGTTCAAATACCTTGGAGTTGTACTAGACCAAAATGGAGGCATTAAGACTGAACTGGCTATACGAAAAGCAGCTGCTGGGAGACTTTTCCAGGCCATAAACCGAGGGTTTCTTAGCAAAAGAGAAATTGGCAAGAGGACGAAAATGGCTGTTTACCGCTCTACCTATGTACCAGTCCTGACCTATGGGTGTGAGTCATGGGCAATGACAACAGCTCACAGAAGCCAGCTGCAGGCCTCGGAAATGAGATACCTGAGAAAGGTGGTCCAAGTGACAAGAAGGGACAAAGTCCGCAATCAGACAATACGTCAAGATCTTGATACCCAGCCCTTAGTAACCCGAGTAGATCAGTCACAGTTACGATGGTTTGGACATGTATGCAGAATGGGAGAAAATCGGCCACCATGGCAAGCATGGGAGGCTAAGAACCAGGGAACCAGACCTCCGGGACGACCCAGGGTGCGCTGGGAAGACAACATCCGACAGTCCCTAACTGACAGAGGACTGGAATGGAACAAAGCCAGAAAGAAAACTGCTGATAGAGACGTCTGGCGATCTCTCTGGCAAACCTCTACACCCCAAGGTAGAAGAGGAGCGACTAAGTAAGTAAGTAAGTAAGTAAGTAAGTAAGTAAGTACTTCCTTGATGTTCAGATCTGTTAGAATGTCAATATTTCTTTTCTTATTTGTCCATGATATTTTGGGATTTTTTAATATATTATTTCAGCCCAAAAGCTCTGTATTTACTTTATTAAGGACTGGAAAATAGTCCACAACTCAAATCAATGTGCTGCCACGTGGAAGATACATGCTCTTAAAATTTTGATTTTGATTTCTTTGCTGGTGCTTAACCACTGACTTTTAATGCTGTTTATCTTTACATTGCTTTCGCTTTTCTCCTTCTGAGCTCTGTTAAACAGTCTCCATTGCTGTTTACTACACAGCTTGCATATTCAAAGTTTGTGACATATTCAATTTCTGCATCATTTATAGTTATTTTTAGGTAACAGCCAATCTGTTTCTGTTGACTTTATTTTTGTTTTCTCTAAATCCAGTAACACTGAAGTGTTTTTAATTTACTTTACTTTTACCAATGCCCTAACTGCTCTGTGAACTTTAGTCCTTTCACACAGTTAATGTTATTTTAAATACATATATATATACACACACACACACATATATATATGTGTGTGTGTGTTTGTATGTGGAAAACAGGTTACAGTAACAACTTTCGGGATTAAAAGCGTTGATGAATCCTATAACTACTATATCAGGCAACTAGAAAATCAAACACACTATATGAAAATGTGTCGAACATTCAGCTCATAAGGGCCCACACTGCCTCCTCAGCAAATCCCACAGCGTGTAGCAGCTCACAACACCAGTTCTTGGTTGGTTTTTAATTCTTCTTTGGCTTCCTGCATAGTGCTCTTGTCTGACCATACCTCTTTTAACATGTTCTTGTGGTCTGGTCATTGTTGCAGATTCACTGACATTACTGGGTTCTCACAAATGTCTTACTTCTGGTAGAGCATTCAGAATACCTGCCTGGTCTATGGCTCGTCTGCCCTCCTGAGTAGCCTTACCTGCAAGCCTTTCTTATTTAGCCTTTCTATATCAGCTTTCTTATTTCCTTGCATGCCTGTATGCCCTGGCACAAATATGAAACTGATATGTGTTAGCCCTGATCGCTTTAAAGACTCCCAGCTACTGTCTTCGGACCCAGCCCATCTCTATCTTCCTGAGCATACTCATTGAGTTACTGAAAAAGCATGCATGGGAAAAGGTCTGTATCTCCAGCCATGTTATTGATTAGGTTACTGCCATAGTCAGACTAGTTGTGGTCAAGGCAACAGCACTGTAGCCTGAGCCCTAAAAGCCCAAGAGGTTCTCACATGGCACATTACAGACCCA